ATTCAGATCATCAGTTTCATTCCAGGTTCCTGCATCCCACTGAAATATGAATACAAACAAATCCCAAAACATTCAGCACTAGGCTGCAGATATACTCATCAGCTGGCTTTTCTTTCTTATGGAGTGGGGTGGAGAAGAGCTGAGGCCTGAACTCTTTCTCTCCCTACATTTACTGTGCCTTTTATCGCCAGTCATTAGATTTTATAGGAAACTCCTATTCTATTGACTTCTCTTTCTGCCTCCTTTAGCGATGGAAACATCAGCATTAATTTCCTCAAGTTTATAGTGAACTGAGTGACTTTAGGGTCTGGGCATATGTTCACACTGATGGCTAATGGATTGAGCTAGCTGATAAAACAGAATCAAGAGTGTATCCAGTTTAAAAGTCTGAATCATTAACTCAACGGTTTGCCCACTTTTATTGGATGATGGTCAGCAGATGCTTCATCTGAGCCCAACAAAATATTCATGCTGCAGCACAATTTCAGGGAAGCCAGTGAGGAATAAATGACATCCAAATAATGTGTATGAAGCATTTTATGACTCAGGCAAAGTATTTGACTTAATGTCAGGTTCTGCTGGCTGATTTCAGTGTTTTCCATTGTGCACGGAAAAAAGATCAGTTCTTCCTGGTCTTCTCCTGCTTTGTTCACCATTATGCTCTGTTTCTGTGGGGTTTCTCAGTTGTTTCCAGGAGAAAGCTCTCTATGCACTCATTAAGGGGATCAGTGCCCACAGCTTAACTAGCCTTGGTTCATTAACCCCCTGCTAGGTCAGTGTGCAGCAGAGGAAGACATTTGGTTATTAGTCTTCCCATATAAATGGTCACTATGCTCTGTAGTGAACTGGTCATGACACTCTACCGTTTATTCAAGTGTATTTACATGGTAACTTTTATTTAAGTACACTTACAGTAAATTTTTACAGGAGATGAGGTTACTGAATTTGCTCCTAAAGGGAAATTCCATTGCTTTTTGTGGAAATTTCTGTGTGATTTAGTCACTGAGATGTAAACAAAGTCATTCAGAATGGTTTGAAATGGTGCATAGTAGGCAAACTTACAGACTTCAACCAGTGGTCATGATATCTACAATGCAAATATACCTTTGTACCCATACTAGTGAATCTAAGCATGCCTTCTGAGTTATAACAACGTTAAAAAAAATCAGTGCATTTGTAACCATCCTTTCTGTGAGGGAGCATTAATAGGCATAAAACACTTCAGCCGTCTGGTTCCTATCACCACTACTGAACAACTGTGACTCTGTAATTTTCTCCAAAAGGAGCATTTCACATCAAACCTGAATGTCTGAATGACTTTACATCTTAACCATTGAATTATGCTGAAACCTTGAAAAATCAATTGGGTTCCCCTTTAACAATAAATTCAAAAATCATAGCCTTGTCAGTCTCGTTACATTTTCTGTTTATATTTTAATCTCTGAATTTCTGAATTTCAGAATACCAAATGAAATCCAGTATGCAACAAAGCAACAGTGTGGAAAGAGTCTTGACAAATAGCAAGCTCCTCTAATGAGGCACAAAAAAGTTTGAAGGAAAGTGCAGAGAAAGCTCTGTTTACCCTCTAATAACTGATAATGTGAAATAAATGTGAAACACTTTTCCAGAAACAACCAGATGCCCTACTTAAGCATGTGGAAAAACTTTAAGGTCTGGACTGTCTTTAGAGTTGCTGGGGCCCAAGGCAAGATTTGTGAATTAGGCCCACCTCCTCTTTCAGAGTCAGCAGGAGGGAAGTGAGACATACACAGCATGTCTCCTATACTTCTACAACCACGTTTTCATTAGCCTGTAAATGCTCATTATCTGTCATTAAGTAATCACTTATAGGCCAAGAACCCATTAACACTAATGAACTAAATGAAAGCAGAATAATCCATGCTAAAATCCCAATCAGGTCTCTTTAAACATAGAAAATCACGTTATTTATAATGCACTCTGCACAAACGGGGTCTGTAATAAAGTAAACCAGTTGGGATTATTGCATTTCACAAAATATGATCAAAAACAGAGAATAAATCTGTTGCAAACATTTGCCACAGGGCTCTACAAACAGTTCCCTCAAGCTCAGGAAACCAAAGAATTCACACCAAAATAATGTGTTAATGTTGTAAAAATGAAACCATTTACCACTTTCACTGATTTCATGATGTTTGGTATGGAATGGAATGGTGTTTCCTAAACCACATAAACTGGGAATTTACAAGGGAAATACAATTTTCAATTAACATTAGTCTACATCTGTCCACATTCAATCACAGTTTGAAAAGTTGCAAACATTTTGAGTCAGAACAATGATAACTAGCATTTCAACTATAGCTACAGCACAGACATTCTCTTACTGTGCCTTTAGTAAACAAATAGTGCTGGGTCTAGAAAGTTTGGCGGGGTAGCATGTTCATGTGGCACCCAAGGTTCAAGGGTATGTATGAATGTTTGTGCAAACAGCTCTATGTCTTAGACAGACTTCACATGGAGGGCACTATCTATCTATAAAGAGCAGATTTACAGAGCACTGATTTACTTCCAGAGTTTTGGGAGTACAGACACAGGGGCGGCAAGCACTACAGGCAGTGGCAGCTGCCACCATATAGATCCACCCCTGCTGCTTTCATGTTTATTTTTGATTCAGCTGAATACATGTCCAATTTAAAGGACAGCTGCATGTAATAAACATCAAAATTCTGAAGGTTAAGACCAAGGATGACTGGGTTCCTTCCAGGCCACAGCTCTGCAGAGATTAGCACTTTCCATGAGTTCAGCTCACGAAGGCCTTGCTAATTAGCTGATGAGGTGAATTAGGTGTGTTAAATAGACTGACACTGGACTTCTCTCTGGGCCTGACTGTATTCACACTAACATTTTAGTTTTATCTGCCAGTGGTTTTTCTTTGAGATCTTTTTCTCACATGTTTCATGACAATCTGCTCCATTTTCAAATATCAAAACTGGCTCTGTCTCAAAGTTGCATGTACAGTAGAACCTTGAATTAAATGATGTTACTTCACCAAACATGTTTTAAAGCCAAACACCTGTGTACTGATTACAGCATACGTTGTACATCATGTTCCATTGGTCTACACAACTAATCCTGTGTTAATTTGCTGACCACAACTGAAGTTAATGAACAAGTGTCATGGTCTACTATAGTCTATGAATAAAATTGCCAAATGAAATGATCGTATCAACGACATAAACAAAGTAATTCAGAGTGGTTTGGTGTTCTAGGGAATTCTTCCAATTACTTACTGAATGGTTCACAGTGTTGGTGACATCCAAATTGTTTAAAGCATCTTAAAGCTACCTCACAGATAGTTATTCCTCAACATTGTTATGAGTATACTGCCTGAAACATTGTTTTATGATAGTTTGACAAAAATGCTTTTGGACCGAATCATATTCCTCACAATCTTTGTGGCAGACAGGTCTGCCAAGGCAAAGTAGTAAAATAAAATATTTTTCAGATTTACTGCTAGTTTGCCATGATCAACATTACACATAAAAACTCAGAAGACATTTGTAGATTCACTGATGGTTTTCTTAAGTTATCTGCTTAGTGACCATTCAATGTTCAACAGTATTTGACTGTAAAGCTTACTTAGACATCACAGGGAGACATGTTTTCATAGTATCTTCTGCTGGTCTGAACATACAGGATTAGAGACAGGAAAGCTCAGCAGAAGGGTAAAATAGCAGCTTGATTTCACCAGAGGGGCAAATGACACCTATATGATCCCAAAAGATTATAAAGGCCACAACTCAGGAAACATGGGGGGAACTTACGTGCTCCTATACATGCTTGTGTTTGAAAGTTCAAATGGTAAGCTATAGATTGTTTCCCTGTGAGGCTTAAAACCACCATAAACCGGTTCTCTTTGATTCAGAAAAACATCTTGAGGCCTCTCACGAACCTCCAACCTTTACCTCTTAGCTATAATGTCTTCTAACTATTCTAGGAGGAAACTATTCTAAATCTAATTTCAGGTTACCTTACAACATCTGCTGCACTTTGACAGCCCGCCAAAGGTTGAATGAGGCCTGTAACATGGAACGCTTTCAAAAAGATGAACATTGGCTTTTATCTGGAGACAAACATCAATCTTAGGGACTTCCCATGATTCCTTTATCTTCCTAGAATAGTGTATAACCTATGCTTGTCTATAATTGGAAATGGTAATCCAGCAATATTCAGGTGTGGTTTATGTTAGAAAATAATAATAAACAATGTAAACATGACAAAAGAAGACAAGTGGAATGATCAAGCTCATGGGAAAAGGCGTTATTATTCATGGCCATCAGCCATAATAAAAATACCAGAGGTTAAGGGGCATTATTTGGGTTGCCAGTGAGCGGTTACTGTCTAAGCATGTCTTTGTTGTCTGTGCAGTGTATGTGGGTGTAATATGCTCTGTTTCATGAAGAGTTCCCCACATTACTGAAGAGGAGAGTAAAATAGATGGCATTGTTGGGTCTGAACCACTCAAGAGATGGACTTACGCCATTGCTTAGCGTGAGTTTTATGACATAGATTATTTTGCCCCATATGATTCGGCTCAGTTCCTGGTACGGTTCACTGAAGCAGAGTCAGGCTACAGTGGAGGAGGCCCATACCTGGGTGCCTTATCACCTGCTTAGATTTTATCAGGCTGGCCCTGTGTAGTAGGCCTACATTTTGGTTTATAAAACCCATTGATGTTAACTGGCTAAAAAGACAAGACGTGGTATGTTTTGTCTGGTAATTCAAAATGACGTTCAATATCCTTTTTGTTCTGCAGGCAGAGATGAATATGACATTTTTCAAAGTCTGACGCAGACATAGCTCATACTGTAAGTCTTTTAAGGAGAGGGGGAGAGGGAGAGAGAGAGAGAGAGAGAGAGAGAGAGAGAGAGAGAGAGAGAGAGAGAGAGAGAGCGAGAGCGAGAGAGAGACCCTTTCAAGGCTAATTCATTGTGGTTGATACTGACCTCATGTTGAGCAATTTGAAAACACTGTACTAACTGCTACTGTTATGTTGAAAGGCTGTACAGAACACTGCTCAGTGCAAGCTGTTATCTTTCACCATGGCTTGTAGGGAGGAAACCTGTGGATAAAGCATAAGAAGACCCTGTTCCTCAGCTGAGTTTGCTATATTAGCTCTCCTAAGGAAGCAGAACTGAGAATGCTAACATCAGTGGATCACGTTAAGGACAATTTCCTCACTTCTCTCATTAAGACAAGGTGTGAAAAGCCAGGCACTGAGGAAAGGAGACAGAGAGTGGGATATCTGCTGTTGTTTTAAGAGAACTAGTGAGGGGAGGGCTCAGAAACAGCAGAGAGAAGAATCCAAATAAAAGGTGTGTGAAAATACCTCACCGCGGTGTGCGCGGACTAATCCTGTACGCGGAGGGCAGGAAAACTGCTGAAGGCTGTACCTGTACTTTTTACACCTGGTGGTCTTTGTGAGGGGATGGAAGCTGTTCGGACGGAGGTTTTGTGTGTAAGCCGCCGGCGGTGCCGCTGCCACTCCCTCTCTGATGACTCACAGGAGGCCTGTGAAGAGGAACTGGACTGGGATAGTTTTAGCACAGCCATACAACCTCGCCAGGTGAGAGAGAGAGAGAGAGAGAGAGAGAGAGAGAGAGAGAGAGAGAGAGAGAGAGAGTGTTTGGGAGAAAGTGCTCATGGTCACACCAAACTGAGGAATTTGCCTTGAATTCAAATGTGTATATTATCTTCATATTATTGAAATATATTACATCAGCATAATTATTTCAATAATTTTTTTTAGGTAATGCAGAATGATTGTACACATTTGAATTACGTAAATTCAGTTCACAATTTGTACATTTTCTGTAGGCCTGTATATGCAGCTTTGTGCAAAAGTCTGTGTTTAACATCTTTTCACTGTAGCCATGAAATGCAGGTTCTGCCTGTTTTGGAGATCCCTCAGCTCAGTTTTTTGTCTTAACATAGATAACATTGATGGAATATGTTGTGATAGAAATGTGTGTGACAAAACCGGAAACAAACTAGATTTTTGTCTTTGTTGGTGGGCGAGTTTGAGGTGGGCTTTATTCACAAAATGTTTTTTATGGTGTTTAAACGCTATTTTGTGAATCAAGAAAGCTGTAGCTCTGTTGTCTGTTTTTGTCTCAGCACGGCCGTCTTTGTGGAGAGGTGTGAAGTGTTTTCACAGCAGGGTGCCCCCCTTTCCCTCTTCATTGCTCACTAGCAGCTCAATATAAAGGCATGACATTTTACACATAAGCTGGTTTTCCATTCACCTCCTTTTTGTGAATCCTTATTAAAAACCTGGATGGAAAAGCCAGAAATTCTAAAAAATGCATGAACATCACAAAAAAGAAATTCTGCTTGGAGGAGGTGGAAAAGTTGTTTTTTTTTGAAGAAATGCAAAAAAATTGAATGTGAAAGGTGATGGAAAGATTTTGTTGATGTTGTGGGGATAGAAGTCACATGTTTAGCGCTGTGTCCTATCAGAACTGCTGCAGTGCTGTTTAAAGGGGTTTGGTGGGCCAGCAACTTCAGCCCTAATTGAATGAGTCAAAGCAGCATCTGTAAAGTGTTATAACTACAGCCATGTACAGCTGAATGAGGGCTGTCAAAACTGCTCTATGGAGAGCTAATAAAGGTTTAAATCCCTCCATTGTATACGCCACGGATGGTAATTGGGCATTACTGTAGTTAATGGACACACTGATTAATTTGCATTGTCTTTTACCAAACTTCACTTAAAATTTACATAACAAGTTATTGAAAACTCAGATTAACCTAGTTAATCTGAGAACAGAGTTAAGGGAAAATATTTTATCGATCATATTAATTAAAAATATTCTAGTCGATATAAGTAATACAAAACAATAATTGTTTTTTTTTTTTTTAAAGTAATTAATATCGTGGTTAAAGAGGTACAATTAGAAGAACACAGGTTTGGTTCCTGTCTTCTCAGTGAACTACAGCCGCTGCAGTTTCATTAAACTCCATCACCAGCACACCTGATTTAATTTAATGAAGCACTGATTAGCTGAACTAGGTAAAAGATGGCAAGTGTAAATACTGGGCTTCTTTGAGGAAGGATAAGCAAACACAGTGACACACATCAAATCACGATGTATTGTTTCTTTGTATTAATTATAATATAGGTGTTTTCTGAAAAAAGAAACACTTTTTGCCCAGATAAATGGCATTACATATCATTTTCTCATTTGCTTTTTACACAGTACAGTATATTTAGTTTCAAATGAGCTCTCTGAGTATCTGTACAACACTGTGTTTCATTGAAATACAGAGCTCAAGATTATGTAACACTGCTCTTTTATCTTTTTTAGCTGATAGGTCATGTTTGAGTAAAGCAGCTGTACCTAGGAATGGAAAATGGCCAAGAATGGACAGGGACAGGCATCAGAGCAGAACATGCACATTAAAGGAGAAATGGTAAATCGGTCAGATGACAAGTTTGCAAGTGCCCACTGCCCACATATTTGAGAGATGATGACAGTTACTTAAATAGGGGCTCATATCGTTTTTTGGCTGCAATTTGAAGCCTGAACTGTCTGAAGAAAGTGCCTGGACCTGTGACTGGTTTGACTAGAATGTTCGCTTCTCTTTAAAACTAGCTTAAGTTTATTGTGCTAAGTCTGCCTGTGTCCTCGCAGGCTGCTGTTTTAGTGCTGTGTTGGATTTTGGTCCCTGTCTTTTGGGATTATTTGTTCTAGTTTTGCTTCTAATTTCGAGTTACTTGATTTTCTTTTCTTTTGGGATTTCTTGTGAGCACTGACTGCATTTAGGAAGCAATTTGAAGTATCTGACCAACATGCCTGGATATATGTTCTGATTTATCTTCTCTGTAAAACTGGCTTAAGTTTATTGTGCTCAGTCTCATCGTGTCTTCACCCTCTTCCGCCTCATGACTGTGAGTGGGGGCTCAAAGCACTGTATTGGATTTAGGTCTTTTTTATTGTGTTTCTGAGATCACATTACCTGGTTTTCCGTTGCTTTTTTGATTTCTCGTGAGCACTGATTCGTCTTTCTCCTCCTCCCCCTGGTTCCCCCTCTCCCTCTCTCTCTCTTTCTCTTTCTCTGGCAGGAACAGGAGAGCCTGCAGCAGGCGGAGCAGCGGTGTGTGCAGCTGGCTCAGGCCAGGCGGGAGCTGGAGGTGCAGGTGGCTGGTTTGGAGGAGCGTCTGGAGCAGGAGGAGGGAGCCTCCGTCCAGCTGGCCTCTCAGCGCCAGAGACTGGAGGCCGAGTGCTGCGACCTGCGCCGTGACCTGGAGGAGCTGGAGAGCACACTGACTGCCGTAGAGAGAGACAAACAGGTGAGGGAGGAGAACACACCCCCACTCATGACTCTCTGGACATAAGCACACTCATTCAGTCAGTCAGTAGTGCTGGAGGGATGTCTTCTACCACATACTGGAGGTATTTGTCCATATTTTAGGCATTTCATCATTTGCACACTGAGGAAAATAATGCACTGAATTAAATGTACTTAATTTGCACAGAAATAAAATGCATTATATCAGCACAGTTCATGTCAAAAATGAGAAAACTGGTAAACAAAGTTAATAAATAATTCATGGTAGTGACTGAATAATAAGACTTGAAATTAATAACAGAAAAAATCTGGAGATTGATATTTCATGTTTAAATGGAAATATGGGAGCAGAAAGCATCTAATATAAAGACATTTTTGGTACTAATGACAGATGATTTAAGAGTTTTTTTGCAGTGCTTTTTAATCCACATTTTCAGCTAAGGCTTAGTTAATTTTTAATGCTGTTTCATCCTCAGATCTGCACTCTTACTGTTGTCATCCTTTTATTTATTTCATTGTAGCGCAGTGAGTGATCGGATTACTCAGTCTGCGCTACCCTGATTCTGTAAACCTTCCTATAAATTTCTTAAAGCCGTACTGTCAACCTTTTAAGCACTGGCTACTTTCAGTATTTAGAGTGTCTAATAAGTCAATGACTGCCTGGGATAGACTAATATCAGATACATAAACATCCAGAATCTTTAGACGTATTATGTCTGCCAAAACTTACAGTACTTGACAGTGAGCTGAACACAAGACCAGACCTGTACAGTCAATTTGGTCTTTCACACTTTAAGCAGGCTCTGTTTGTAGTCCTGTTGCCATAGCAAGGACATGAGCGACATCAATTTGACACCATGAAGAACAAAAATATGGATTTTAGGTTATTAGAGCAAGTTAAAGCTATGATTTCTTACTCTTTATGTGAGATTCTGGGCTTTATTTCTCAAACACAGTATCTTAACATGTGTGAGTTCTACTCTGAATTCACTTTACTTGGAAGTCTTTTGTACGTTTGGACTGTTTTACTTCAGTACAACTAAATTGTTACCTTAACTGCACCTGCAAAACACCCTTTTTTTTAACTTGGCTGCGCTGCCTGCCAATTATACCATACTCACTTTCTTTATGATTACTTTCTCTTTTTTAGCCTCTTCTCTAATCAGTTTACTTAAATACAGATGGTAACCAAATATTTGTCTGGTTACACACTGCAGTGAGATGAGTTCTGCCTATAAAAGTTGGAAAATGCTTTGAGGTCAGAGGGGAGTGAAATGACAGTAGTGATTTCAGGATGAAAGTACTTGTGAAGCCTCTCCGCCCATCCACAAGCACTTCTGGTTTACATCTGTTTTTCAGAGACTCGACAGGTCCACACACACACACACACACACATTTGTTTTTATACCTTGTTAGGATATTGGGTCATACATATATCCCATATGTATTATAAAAAGTACGGTGCAAAAGTCAGAGACCACACTTTGTTTATTTAGTTTCCAGTCAAAATGACCATCAACTATAGGTTATTTCTTTTTCATAAGATATTTCTGAGGTGATTTGATATAAACTAATCCATGTGCATAAAAAGGGAAAGTCATAGAAAAATAAGTGAAAAACATAAAGTTGAAAAATATTTTAAAATGTACAGAAAATGGGCCTCCTAACCATACAAGATCCTGGTAGACCACCAAAACTGGCATAATTAGATAAACAGTATTTAAAGCTTTAGAGAGAGGAGAAAATCAAGCTCCACACTGTCTTCAGATCTGTAAAAATCCTCAGGTGTTTCTGTCCATCCTTCCACTGTGACAAGACAATTCAACACTATGGGTCTGAAAGGATGTGTAGCTGTCAAGAACACGCACAAAGAAATTGCTGGTGTTCTTAGACAACAACGGACTAACCACCCCATTGTCTAAAACTCATCACTACTGAAATGTGTTTGGGATTACTTGGATTATGATAAGCAGAAAAAGCAACTAATGTATAACTGTAAACTTTCCCTGCAGATTTACTTGAAAAACTGAAAGCAAGTCTTCTGAAAAGAATTAAATTTGTAATAAAGGCAATATGTGAACACACTAAATACCAATAAAGTACTTGGTTGTTTTGTCTGGAAATTAAATAAATGCAGGGTGGTCTCTGACTTTTGCACAGTACTGTATAGAGTTGTATGCAAAAGTTTGGGCATCCCTGATCAAATTATGTGTTTTGTTGATTTTCTAAGAGAAAATAAGTTAACGTAATGTGGTTGTTTGATCTGTATTACTATTATTCCTGCACATTCTCTCTAGTCCTCAGACTGTACTGTGAGAAAGCTCTCAGAGGAGCTCTCCCAGAGGGACGTGCTGGTGCAGAAGTTCCAGAAAGAGAAGGATCACTTGGTGGAGCTCAGCCAGGTGAGAGTAGATTCACTTCATGTGTATTAGAGTGTAATGAAACAGATGAACAGCTATAGTCACAACTTTATTCAACATACACTGTGCAGCCAAAAGTATGTGGGCACCTCTCCTCATGATAGTGTTCAGGTGTTTCAACCACAGCCATTGCTAACAGGTGTATAAAATCAAGCACAAAGCCATGCAATCTCCATAGACAAACTTTGGCAGTATAATGGGCCGTACTAAAAACCTCAGAGCTAAAGAGTGGCAGTGTCATAGGATGTCACCTTTGCCACAAGTCAGTTCATGAAACTTCTGCCCAGCTAGATCTGCCCCAGTCAACTGTAAGTGCTGTTATTGTAAAATGGAAACATCTAGGATCAACAACAGCTCAGTCAAAATGTGGTAGACTGTGCAAACTCACTGGAGCTGTGAGATGTGAAGTGTGTAAAAATCGCCTATCCTCTGTTGCCTCACTCACTTCAGCGCTCTGCTTCTAGGAGCCAAATTAGCACTATAACTGTGCATCGTGAGCTTCATGCAATGAGTTTCCATGGCCGAGCAGCTGCACACAAAAATCACTATGCGCAATGCCAAGTGTCAGCTAGGGTGGCGTAAAGCACGCTGTTCTGGACTCTGGAGCAGTGGAAATGTGTTCTCTAGAGTGATGAATCAAGCTTCACTATCTGGCAGTCTGATGGATGAATCTGGGTTTGGTGGATGCCAGGAGAACGCTAGCCACCTGAATGCATAGTGCCAATAGTTAAATTGAGGGTAATGTTAATGCTTCATGAAACAAAAAACATTTTAGATAATTATATGCTTCCAAATTTGTGGCAACAGTTTAAGGCAGGCCCTTTCCTGTTCCAGCACAACCTTGTGCACAAAATGAGGTCCATAAAGATGGGTTTGATGTGGAGGAACTCCAGTGGTCTGCAAAGAGCCTTGACCTCAACCCCTGTGAACACCTTTGGTATGAATTGAAATGTTGATTGTGAACCAGGCCTTCTTGTCCAACATCAGCGCCTGACCTCACAACTACTCTTTTGACTGAAAAGGGCACAAATTCCCATATTGGAGACACACTCTATCTTTTGGAAAGACTTCGAAGAGGAGTGAGAGATCCAGTTATAGGTGCAAAGAGAGGGCGAACACCATATTAATGCCCATGGCTTTGGAATGGGATGCTCAACAAGGTTATGTAGGTGTGATATGGCAATATGGCGTACTTGGATTGTTTAATTATTCAACATACTTAAATTGTACGTAGATATGTAGTAATATAGCATGATGTTAATGATATTATATATACTTACTTTGTTAACCCTCAGTAATCTAGTGTTATTAGTCATTTTTGTGCACTATGTAACTACCTAATTAATTACTTGCTTACATGACAAATGGCATTTACATTTACACTTCAGTGTTTCACTCTCATAACTACAAAACTTGAATAATTAATAACTGAATAACTGATGCCTGCGTTTTAAGGAGTTAATCTTTTTTAATCTCCATCTCCAGTTGCTTCGTAGCTTACCACACATTTTTACTTGCAAGAGATCAGTTCATAACTTCATGATATAGCATGATTGTCATACAGTTGAAAGTTTCATTCTTTTAGCCTGAGTAAGATAACTGCAGATAGCAGATTTAGAGCAGAGTGCAGTTTTATTGTCAGGCACAGAGCAGTAGTGTGCGCTCTGCTCTCTGACTTGAGGCAGAGAGACATGCAGCTCTGAGCTCTAGAATGATACTTCAGTGTCAAGGTCACTCCAGTGGGATGGTAAATATCCTAGCGGTTTACAGGCTGTTGTGTTGCGCAGACCAGGCCCATCTGGAAGACGAGTTGGAAGAGCAGCTTCGTTCTGTCTTCTAGAGAAGAACTGTATAGGGCCTAGCCTGCTGACTTCATTGTGTCTGTAACGCAGAAGAACCCAGAAATGGCCTCAGAATGCATTTTGTAATCAACTGCAACATTTTGGTGACCTGAAGCCTCAAGAGGTTGAGCGCTGAGAGAGCTAAATTTCATATTTTATACCAGTGGTCATCAGCCCACATCCTGGAGATGTAACTTCATGCAAAGTTTAATTCCAACCCTAATCGGCCCCACCTGCTCCCACTAATAAGTGTTTTTTCAGATGGCCTCATCCTCTGAGGTGGTTTATGGTTTATTGTGGAGCTAGAACTCCAGGAGGAGGGTTGCTGAGTACTCTTTATCCTACGCTTTTCTTGTATTTTATTTGTTTTCCTGTAGTCCACTTATAATGTTCGTGTGGGTTTATGTACTAAAAACAGTCTTTTTTTTATGGAACCATTTTCCAACCTCTTTTTGCCTCTTGGAATTAAACATGCTGGTTTTTTACTGTGCCTTTAAGGCTGATATGTGTAAATGACCTCTGTCCCGACTGGCTACTCTGTTTGTGCCTTGTTCAAAAGTCAGTCCAGATTGAAACACTCCTTTCACTTTCAGTGTGAATGGGTGGGGCTAAACTTCTGGGCTATTTTTGCAGCTTAGTTTGGACTGTTTGTACTGGCAAATGAACAGTTTATATACTACATCACACTCTTTTATTTAAAAAAGTGAGATTTTCCATAACATGGACTCTTAAATGATAATGGATTAAGCAAAGAATGAAGAGAAGTGGTACTGGACAGGGATGAATAATTAGAATAATCTGGTCTATTTTTCTGTCAGGCTCTTGAAACCCAAACCATTGGTCACAATACACTCTCAATAAAATCCTCTGTGATTCTTTTTGGTGTCCTATAAAGAACTGCAAGTGTATCGTACAGTAATGCATGCCAGATGTCGAACAGTAGCGGCTCCATTTGCCAGGTAATCTCTGCCTGAGTTTTAAGATCTGTGGTATTGCCCTTTTTTCTGCTCATCGAGCATGCCTGTAAAGCGATAGGCCCCTTACAGCAAGGGCAATGAGATGGATAATTGAGTCATATCTGATAGATATCAAAGTTTCTATTCCTCATTTAAAAAGGCCCTATCCAGAGAGCAATTTAGCTGGTGTGAGGTTATTTCTCTGGGTTTTGGTTGGGTCAGATGTTTCGAATAAGACTCGGAATTTGCATTGAAGGATTGTATCTGATTAAGCCATTATGCCGCAGACTTTTTCTGACAAACTCTGTGGTCAAAATAAATGAACACATCCCAGCTGTGGATCAAAGGAGTCTAGAGTCACAGCTGAGGATTTAGGGCTGTATCTGTTCTCCAGACTCACAAGCTGTGTTTTATCATTCCAGCAAGCCATTGAGGACTTACAGTGTGAGGAGGAGAAGGTGAACCTCCTGACCAAAGAGAAAGCCAAGCTGCAGGTGCACGTGGAGGAGGTGAATACTGCACTTTTATGAGACCTTAGCCAATATGATATGTTACCGTTATCATGATAAGTTATGTCACAGTATGTTTTTCTGAGTATATCATGGGTATTGTCAGTGGGCTGCAGAAAATGGGGCCTACATGCCAAAGTTGGCCCAGGAGGACCAGATGGTTACTTCCCCCTGTCCTCCTCAGTCTTCCACTCCTCCAACCAATAAGAGACAACATAATTTTTACGTTTTTCACATTTTTATGATGGTCCATACCAAACAAGAGAATTTTATATCAGAGCACACTGTACTCAGTGCTGGTCAGCGCTGTACTGTCTGCATAATCTGCCTGTTTAGCATTTGACTCTTGATAGACCCTTGTTGTTCTTGCAGCACGAGCTGTTGCTAATAACGCCGCTTGAACAAATAGCAAAGTACTTTATTTTATCACATGGACTGCAGAATATATTTTTGATAGGTCAGGCCAGACGTTGCTAAACTGATTGAGTGAAGTGACGCGTAATTAATCGATTATATAGAAGAGGAGAACAAGTAAGGGTTAATTTTGTTCCTGATTGTGGTGTTAACACTCAGAGTAACCTTCATGAGGACAGTGCTAATACATTATATCATAGCTGTCCAAAAAACCCAAAACATGAATCTCCATTGTTGTCGATTTTTATTTTTCCACATCGTTTGAACATGGCAGCTGTCCTTTACATGAACCAGTACACTCTTAAAAAAAATGGCGCTTCAAGGGTTTTTTAGTAAAGGAAATGTTTCTCTCTAGAACCATGAACACTCAAAGAACCCTTTGTATGATTAAAGGGTTCTTTGCATCATGAAAGGGTTCTTCAGGCTGATAGAGAATGTGCTGTAGATGGTTCTATATAGAACCTTTTTGAAAATGGTTCTATGTAGCACCCAAAACAGTTCTTCTATTTTTAAGATGTCAAGCTTGTAACAATAGAAGAACCCTTTGGGTGCTACATAGAATCATTTTTAAAAAGTATCTATATAGAACCATATATAGCACATTCATGCACATTTTCCATAACTCTGAAGAACCCTTTCATGATGCAAAGAACCCTTTAATCATCCAAAGGGTTCTCTGAGTCTTCATGGTTCTATAAAGAACCATTTCTTTACTAAAGAACCCTCGAAAAAAAGATCTGTCTCTTTTAAGAGTGTAGAAATATTCCAAAATCACTTGAAATGAAACCTCTTTACATCAATTTACATTGACAGTTAAGAATGTTTTTACCTTCTTCTGTAAAGTTACTATTTTAGAGATACTTTCTTTGGACAGCAAGGTTGTCAAAAATATATTTGAGGAATAGATCTTAATTTAATACTACGATATAGGGCTGGGCAATCTGACAGTATATTGTTATTGTGATACATGATGTCACAATGCAATGCAGTATGCTTTTCTGAACATGTCATGCATATCGTCAGTACTTGTAGATCATTGACCAACTTGATATTTCATTAAAAAGAGAATAAAAGATAAGTATTGTTTAATAGGATTTAGTGCAACCCAATATGCAAAATATGAAATAAAAATAATTTTTGTCACAGTTTTTGATTGTGTTTTGAAAAAGTAGCACTACTGGTTCTTTTTTCTCTATCCCAACTGATCAGATCTCTGAAAAACAAATATCGTGACATATTGTGTGTTGTGATAATTTCTTGAAGTATTGCAATGTTCTCTTTTTGCCATATCACCCACCTCTACCATGATAGGCTAGTAAAAGTTAGTTTAAATTGTTTAATGATAAAAAATAAGTTGTTTAATGAAGGCATACATGAAAGTAACGGAGTGCTTGTATCTCTACCGAATTTCTGACCTATCACGGTACACAAAGAACACCCACGTGTATTAGCTGGGGCACTTCAGCCACTGCAGCATGAAACCAACTGAACCAAATGAAGAAGATACAATGTCACAAAAGCACAAACTCTAATGTGAACAAATTAGGTGTGAAAACAGTCTTAGAAACCACCAATAGCTGATTGTACCAAATGCAAAAGCAATGCAGTGTACCTTTTTAAAGAATCTGGTTATGGTCCGCATACACTGACAACTGTAAAGTTAGTGAGTTGCTAGCTAGTTTTATTGCATTTTTGGCACAAACACTACACTTTGCCCCCCCAAGAAAGACATTTGTGCACGCTTGTTGTATAGCACTGAACAACTATATGTATCATAAAATTTAGACCATTTACAGAGAGACTATAAACAACAACAACATGCTTTTTGTATGTCAGTTCATTATGCCATCATCTAATTTTATTAAATTAATTCATCAATTTTTAGATTTTTCCTCCTGTTCTGTAGTCATAGCCACCTTTTTTCATAGCCTATTGGATTTTGTCTCTTCCCATTTTTTCACAAACCTCAGAAAAGCTCAGTGTCATTATACAGTCATGCATTGTAAAAATACATGGTGAAAGATCAAGTATTGTGATGTTGCATTCTTGCCGTATCGCCCATCCTTAGTTCAGCCACTGTACTTTTTAAACTGAACATGTGTGGCCCTTCTGTCCGCCTGCGTCGTCCAGTTGTTGGGATGCTTTAATGAGCGAATGAGTCACTGGCTTCTCACAGCAACATCTGAAATATCATGTCTTGCTGCTAATGATCGCAAACAATTGTGTCATTCTTCCCAGTCTCAGAGTCTGTATGTTGCGTTATTGAATTGTGAGTGCAGAGGGACCTAAATGTATGCAGGAGTTGCATAAAACTGCTCTGAGCTCTCTGTGTTGATGTGTGGCCTTGTGATGTGCCTCAGTTGGAGTACCAGCTGGAACAGGAGAGGAAGCAGCGCAGTGAGCTGGAGAGGAACAGGAGGAGGCTGGAGGGAGACAGCAAGAACACCATGGAGAACCTAACCGAGCTGGGCAAGATGAGGGCCAGCCTGGAGGAGCTCATCAAGAAGTGAGTCACTGAACAGCCTGTTTTTCACCTAGACTTTAACAACATGACATCAGAATGTGTACATTACAGAGAAAAAGCTTCGGAAGGAATTTTGTGTAGCACTTCATTTGGCTGGTCCACAATAGATACTTTATATATTGGCACTTTGCCATTAATTTTAATCAATCAAATATCTAGTAACATCAACTACAAAAGCTTATTATCCCACAAAAGCTTATTTTGTTGTCCATATCGAGTGGCCCTACACACTGCCCTTCCCTGAAAGGGGCATAGTGGCCTAAAACTAGCGTTTAACCCCCTGGTATCCCCGAATGCGCCCCTGCATCAAATTCAATATTTATGTAAATGTTCCTATATCTTTGCGATAATAGAGCACAGAAATATGGTTCAAACATTTCCTGATTCTGTAAAGTCGCCCTTATGGTTCCATCTTATCACAAGATCATATGTGGCTCACATCTGGAGTTATGAGGCTGTGAAAAGGGGTTGAGAAACACGTCATGTGCCTCTCACTGTGTGTAAATAGTGGATTTGTGTGTCCGTCTGCATATTAGTGAAACTGACCAATGGACACTCAGGACATCGCTAATGACTTACGCATCATGTTGTAAACATTTCATTCTTCATTCAGTCAACATCAGAGACATGTGAAGTGGCGTGCAAAGAGTTTACAGCCACTGAAATTGCTGCAACAGTTTTGGAAAAGAGCGACGAAGATAACGTAGCATTTTGATATGAGACATACAAAAATTTGTGTGATGCAAGTGCCTTTAAGTGCATTTAAGAAGATATGCAAAAATTAAGGAAATACCCTTAGACCCCAGAGGATTAATATGTTACTTATCATTGTATTCAGTATTCTGAAGTGGAGCATTGTGTCCCTCACCCTCATCAGTTTGACACACATCATAATTTTGTATCCTTTTTATGCGTTTGCCAGCCAGTGTTCTTACACCACAATACCTGACACAGATGCTAATGAACACAGATGTGATATTCATCTTACTAGCAGCAACGGGAGTTATTTAAAAAAAAAAACTGCCTCCACATATTATTTATCCAGCCCTATTAGTTTTTCACAAGTTCTGCCCACCTTCAAGATACATCATCAGAGGGGATGTTTCCTAGTCCTTCAACCAGAAAATCTCATGCTAGAAAGTACTGTAATACCACTTTGGGAGTTCAGTAAGCATGTTTGCAATGGATGTGGTCATGGTTACATTTAAAATAGTGGCCAGAGTGACGCTTTAACATCATCCCAAAACTTAAATCTAGCCTGGTTCTAACCTCAACCCTAACACTGCTGATAATCAGCTGAATTTTACCAGATAGTTTGTTAATAATTAGAGCCTTTATAGATCTATAACGTCTAAAGTGCTTTCTTATAATGGCCTTAAAGATCAGTGAAGTTTCCTAAAGTTTAGAGAAGATTTTTGTGTGTAAACAGATGGTGGATGTAGGTGTCCCAGTTCTATGGAAAAACAGATGTTTGGATGCCTTGTGGAGGCTATAACATGATATCTACTTGGAACGGTGTTATCTTAGCTTTGATGTGTTAAAGGCCTCCAGGCTCTCAGAGCTGTTCAGTCTTGTTAATGTGCACTTACCATAGCAGACCCACAGACTTGTTCAGTAACCAGAAGATAGCCCGAACAAATAAAACTCCCCTAAGCATGCCCTGGCTACAGTAAAACATGATACTCTGATATGGAGTTCTCTTTTTATGGATGATATAAATGTATATACAAGTAATATTTTTAACAGATATTGCAGAAGGTGATAGTTCAGAGAACTGTACATCTCCAGCATAACAGATGCTTGAGAAAATTTTTGTGCTTGAATAAATCTACTTGCATTGACGGGCAACATTTGACTGACATTTTAATAAGCATGGGGGTCCCTTTCTTAGACATGGTGTGCAAATCATATTCAGCACATCTGCTAAATTAGCCCTGTCATCTCTCTCTATCTCTCTCTCTCTCTCTCTCTCTCTGTCTTTATCTTTGTGTCCTGTCAGGAAAGATGTGGAGATTAGTGCCACCAGCAGCCGGCTGGAGGCTGAGGAAGCATTGAGTGCAGGGCTGCAGAAGAAGAATAAAGAGTTGCAGGTGAGGCCCATGGGGGGAGAGAGGGAGCATTCCTGTCTTTCAGCGCCGTTAGGGTCCTGAACCCTGATTTGTGAGTCTGCTCTGAGATGGCAAAAACATCCCTAAGAACATATGAACTGATAACGATCTCTCTGATGTAAAACACTAAATTGGAATGTAAGATTTGCTCTGTGTGGCTCCACCAGCCAATTTCTGGGTACAGACCTTGGAAAATAGACAGGTACAAGATGTGTTCCACAAGCAAAGTAGTAGATCATGCCTCAGGTATGTACAATGTGTTAAAGGCTACGTTAGATTAACCCCTGTCACTCATGCTGTGTGCCATGAAGGTGTGACGCACTCTTTTTTACGGATCTCATGCCTTAACTCTCTCCTTCCAGAATTATGTCAAGGAACATACAAGGCCCATGTGTTGTTTTCTTTTGGATTTTGACATGTTTTAGTGGGGCGTGAATAAATCTTCTAATAAATCTAGTTGGGCTTTGCTAGCAGGGGAACACCAGTCACTAGGATAGCTGCCAGTTCTAAAGATTTGAACATCAGTATAAATGCGTTAGATGCTATGATTAGCACCTTACCTTACTTGCTTACTTACAAATACTGGAGTGAGTAATGTGCTTTTTAAAGTACTGTGTATGGTAACTTATTAGGTACAGTATTTTAAAGGCATATAATATAGACTATGATGTTTCACTGTAGTACTGTATTTGCAGTCAGTTACACATTCACTGGCACCTTTCGTAAGATGGACATGAAAAGTATATACCTTTATAGGTGTGCAGTCCATTAAAGACTGATATGGCACATTCGGACAGGACTAAAATCACAAAGAATTGAAGGTAAAAGTTACGTTACCCATGTAAAACTAATCCCATCTAAATAGTGCTTAAGAAAACTAAAGCTCTCATTCAGAAAATGTATTTCCAGTCAAAATAAAGTTCCAGTAGCTTCTATCAAACTCCAGACAATTGTGTTTGTGGTTAGATGAAAGAAAAGTCATTTGTCTGATACACCTTTCAAATTATTTGTTGGTATAGAGGTGGCATCTAAATGTAGTTTTGAAGACATAGTGACCCCAAATCTCCAACTATGATCCATGGAGAAATTTTTGCATCTTTAACCATCCTCCTCAATGTGCGTGTAGATAAAATACACCTCCGTCCTCTTCCAGGGAGGTTCACTACAGCTCCGGTTGTTTTAAAAGTCTTAAATATTGCCATCAAAGTGGAAATGTGCTTTTTCCAGGAAATTGGCCTCATCGATGTCCACTTGAGTTCTTCAACACTCAGGTGGGTTATAAATGGGAACATGGTCCAATTAGATTTTGTTCATAAGAATTAAGGAGTGCCAATAATTGTGATATATGATTTTTTTTTTGGACTAAATTAAAGGTTAGATTTCTCTCATGTTTTCAGTGTAAGATTGAGCTAATTAACCAAAAAAGACATTTCTTTACTAGTCTTTACGAAGAGTGTCAATAATTATGGAGATGTCTGTATAACTAACTACAATGTTGAGACTGAGCTATTTTGTTCAAGACTATTTAGAATTTGAGGTCTTGTTTAACAGTTTTATCCATTGTTTTTTTAATGTATCTTCAGTCATTTCAGATTAGTTAAGATGACCTATACTCAATAGTCATTGATATGCACTAGATTTCCCATCCCTTCTGAATTTTTCAGCTGCCCTAAAGGATTGAACAGAATTGTCAAGGCAAAACACAGACTCTGAGAGAAACATGTGGGGGGAAATGTGTAGAAGGATGCAGTATAGTACCCCCAATCACTGAATTTCTCTTTAGACCCAGCTGCCTATCCTTTAAGGTTGTGTGGAGAACATAGAGGCTCTTTGTCTGTGTGAGTGGAGCTGTAACGGGATCCCAGTGTCAGCAAAGGTGGACGTGTTTTCACGTTTAGTCAGGGCATTATCTATATTACACAATGCCGGCTTTATGGACCACTCTCCATTAATCACAGATTAGGTGGACCTGGAAGGCACAAAAGCTAAGCTGGTTTGACAAGACCCCCACCGCCTTGTTATTTTAGTGGATCAACTGATCAGACTCGTTCAGGTGGAGCCTTTTTGTTTGAGCGTCAGTGAGATATATTCCTACCGGACTGTGAGCTGAACAAGTGTTTCTTGTAAAACATTTACTGACACCACCCCAAAGTCAAGCTGGCATTTGGCAATGTTATATTACAAATACCCTTTACAACATATTGCACATGTATTCAGTCACACTGAACTAAATAGCTCTTTGAATTTACGTGAGTTAAATGTGTCAGTCGGTTGCACATGAATAAAGCGCGTTACATCACAGTTGTTGTTCAGTTTTCTGCTTTTGGTGTTGTAACCCTTTTTATGTTCATGTGCAATTGACTGCCACATATATATTGAGAAAAGTAATAATAAGATAAGTAATGCAAACATGCTTTACATTGCGTAAAGCATCTTTGTATTACTTACAGGTAGCGCTGTCACCGCACAGCAAGAAGGGCCTGGGTTCGATTCCCGGCCGGGTAACCAGGGTCATTTCTGCGTGGAGTTTGTATGTTCTCCCCGTGTCTGCGTGGGTTTCCTCCGGGTACTCCGGTTTCCTCCCACAGTCCAAAAACATGCAGTCAGGCCAACTGGACATGCTAAATTGCCCCTAGGTGTGAGTGAGTGTGTGAATGTGTATGTCTGTCTGTCTGCCCTGCGATGGACCTGTCCAGGGTGTATCCTGCCTTCTGCCCAATGACAGCTGGGATAGGCTCCAGCACCCCACTGCGACCCAGAAGGATGAGCGGTTTAGATGATGGATGGATTACAATTATTAGTTATTTTTTTATGTGTCCGCATTTTGCCTTTATTACATCTTCCAATTTATTTTGGAAGACTTGTTTTCAGTTTTTTAAAGAAATCTGCAGGGATGTTTTTCCACACCTCCAAAGTTCAGTCTTAGACGTTGGTTGCATTTTCTGCTTCTCACAACCCAAGAAATCACAGTTGAGGTCTAGACTCTGGGGTGGTCAGTCCACTGTCCTTTCAGACTTATAGTGTTGTCTTCTCACAATGGAAGGATGGACAGAAATGCCTGTGGATTATTTCAGATCTAAAGCAAAAGTTGAGCTTGATTTTCTCCTCTCTCTCAAAGATGGAAGCTTTAAGTATTGCAGTTTTGGAAAACTGTTTTTCCACTTATTTTCCTTTGATGTTCCCCTTCCTTACACAAGTGGATTATCTTATATCTAATCTCTTCAGAAATATCTCCTGCATGGTGGTCTCTGATTTTTGCACAGTACTGTATAGCATTTTTTACTGTTGTTAAGTGCGAGCAAAACATTCATTTCTTACATTTAATCACACATTGTCTATAGCTGGAATTTCAACGTTCAGGGCATCGCAAGAGATTTGAAAGTCTTTGTCTAGGAAATGTTAATATATGTCCTATTTCTTCCCATTTTGGACTTTGCCTGATTGGGGGAATATCGTCTGTCATCAGGCAGTAAAAGTTACAGCTTGTGCGAGAGCCCTGATTCTGTCCACCACATGCAGGCACTTACTTGATGGTTTTGAGCACAAAGAAAGCAAAAGGAGAGTTTTCAGGGGCCATAAGGTACACTTAGGTCAAAGCAAATGAAGATTGATGGTGCTGCGTGAATGAAACATGTTTGATGCAGGCTCAGGACTGATTTGTCTCACTGCCAAATGTGTTTGTAATCTGATGGTTTTGCCCCCCCCCCCTTAGTTCTGTGTGGAGTTCTTAGTTTGCTACTGCCACCCTATTGAATATCATTTGGGCACATCGGGCAGTTCCACATATGCTCTTCATTTATAGCCCATGATGATGGTTACAAGCGCACTGAAACTGCTGAGATGTTAAAACCATAAGAATGTGTAATTATGCTGACCGAGACAAGAACATTCTAAACAACTGATTAATTATAGGCCTTTAATTCATTCCATGGCAGCATCATTTCCAACATAACAGTGAGCGCTGGCATGAAGTGGATTTGGATGAGTACCTGTGATCAGTCCTTTACAAATGTTATGCTTATTCAGTGGTGCTCAGCACGCTGCTTTGCTGAGGAGCACAAAAGGGGGTGTGGAGTTTCTTGCAGGCGAAGCGAGCCACTGCGTGTGAGCCTCTGAGTGTCAGTTTGACTCTGTCTGACTGCTGCTTGGCCATGGCTGTGCTCTCTGCTGAAGTCCTGCGCTGGCATGTGAGTTTCTGCCCTGCTTACCTTGATTTTCTAAAATGGTGTGAAATATTTATTATGTTAATAATGCGCTGAAGCTTAGTGTTGCAGCTTGAATTGCTGAAGTGTGTTTATGTGTGGAATTCCAGTCTTTTAAACCTATTCTGGTTGCAGCCCTTTGAGTTCCACTGCTGGAAGTGAGTGAGGCCTTTTGGAGTATAATTGCTTTGATGATTTGATTTTGGGTTTTGTGTTTATACATCATTCTAATGTGCGTAGGCATGCATGTGTGTGTGTGAATGCTACGGATTGACTTTTATCACACTTCTGAATTTGTCAGGATGCCTGTTATGGGACATCCTCCAGCTATATGGCTTGTCAGAGATATTTCCTGCACCCACACAACAAGATACTACAGGAGATAGGGGTGCCGCAAGACATGAAAGAGAAAGCTAATTCCTACCCATACCGCCATAAATTTTAATCATGGGGCTGCTTTTACTCAGGAAGTGTAACTTAAATACTGAAAGGGTTATTGTATTTATATATGTTTCCAGTATTTGTTATGCAACTGCTATCCTGACTGCTTAACCCTTTTCACTGTATACATAAAATGCAATTTCTGCCTGTATTGGAGGTTCTCCGGTTGAACTACTTGAAATTTTTTCTTCAATAACTTTGATGGAACATATGTATGTGTATGACTTACAAACCCAGAAGTAAATTTACATTATCATCTTTGTTGGTGAGCTAGCAAGTCAAAGTTTATAACAGTGTTTTTTTATTGTATTTAAATATGTTTATTGTGGCAGTTGTGCATGATTTTTGATATCAAGAAAGCCACAGTTGTGCTGTCGGGCCCAACGTTTTATTACACTTCTATAGCCTAAAAATATCTCAACCATTTTGCATTGGATTCCCTGTAGTTACTGAATAATAAGCCTTAGTACGTTATAAGAGGTTAAGGTATATAAGTTATTTTCCATTCTGCCAGCGGAATGGCCACTATGGCAGAAAGAGCCTACATTCAACCACGTGCTAGTTATAATGAAAGTTTTTACTTAGTTAAAACTATACCATGTATGTTTTTTTTTGTTAAAATTGAAAGAAGCAGCATTACTGAATCAGAAGAAAAAAACGTGCTAAAATATGGTGTCTGTGCACTGCTATGATTCACATTGAAAAGCTTGAAATAGTCATTTAAAAACAGTAAGAGGCGTTAGTTGCCGGAAGTATTTTGGATCACATCATCCACATCACATATACAGACTGAAAAAGAAGGTCAGATGTGTCATTTAGGTCTCAAGTGCAAAATCAACATTATACGGATGAAGATATGATAACAATAGTAGATACTTTACTTACATCCTCTGATGACATTTACCAAGTTTTGATTGAGTTCTCTTTGAATACTCTTTTAACACGGTAGCAATCATCAGAACAACTGGTGTTACGAAATATTTTTATGCACATTGTATGCAATTACGCGTTTCCACCAGAGGGGTCTCCATATCCCCAAATCTTACATAGTGCAGCTGTAAGCTTTAAGCTATACAATACTAAATCAAATCAGGTTGCACCATGCAACATAGCTTTTATATTATATTGACTTGCCCATAAACAGATGTACATTGCAGCTCAAATAGATCTGATGTGCAAATATGGAGATACACATACACAGAAAGTGCACATTTTTGCATTTAATGTTATATATAACTAGTTTTAACATACACACAGCTGATGCAGCCAGTTTCAGATGAATTATAACATAAAAGCTAAACTTTTAACAAAGATCAGCTCAATAAAATGGTGACGAATGATGCAAAATGCAATGTCTGCCATGTGGGTTTGGCTTTAAATGAATAGAACTGGGCCAGGAGCTTTAAGGACTTGACCTGTGTATTTACTTTGTGATATTTTCACAAGAACTTCATCTGGTTGCTCTGCTCTCTCTTCCTCTGTGGTTATACACTGTATGATTATGCTGCCATTCAGACTAGCGACCTTATCTTACAACTGGATACAATTACCATGGAAATGAGGCAGAAGGAAAGCTTTTCTTTTCCCTTAGAGTAAAAAGGAGAACTGAAAGTGGAATGGCAGGGATATTTTTAGTGATGATGAGACACAAACATAAAAATAAAAACAGAATTATCAGTTTTGTTTAAGGTGATATGTTTAAAGATGAATGGAATATCATATTATTTAAATTACCAGAGAATATTTAGTACAATTAATGAAAAAAATAGTTAATATGGTGACCTGTGAGGAGATACTGAGTTTGGGTCATGGTATAGATAATGACAGTGGGCAAACAAATTCCTACTCTAAATTGCTACCTGGGATAAAAGCCACCGGCATGCAGGACTAAAAGCAGGGCGAATTGTTCACCACAGCAGTTCTGCCTTTATATAGCAAACCATTCAAAACACTCTCAGAGACAATATGCTGCTGCGTTTGGCAAAGCTGATAAATGGTTTTTGTTTTAGAATAGGCCAAATGTTTGAATTGGAGACAGAAAATAGCTTCCTTACCAGACTTCTATTCTAAATTAGAGCAAGCTGAGGCATGTGCAGTATGCTGTAGTTTGAAATGACTAATATGCTCACACAAGTTTATTTGTAGTTACAAATTGGAACAGTAAATGCCAGACTGCATTAGCTTGTGGTAGTGATCAGTTGTCTTTCAGGTGCCATGATACTGAAAATACATTTTTATGATATCCTTAATGTTCATTTGCTTTTTTCTCCAATCTTTAGGTCCGCATTGAGGAACTGGAGGAAGAACTAGAAGCAGAGAGAGCCATGAGGGCAAAGGTACCTTTCTCTACTTTGTAACAACAATTCTACACCTATGCATTTACAGTAAAGGTCCAAGACCATCCTTTCATTTATTTAATTTCCAATCAAAACTGCCATTTTTAGTATCAGAAAAAAAGCAGGAAATGTGTATATACCAGAAAACTATACAAAAAGCCTCCAACAATAAGTATAATCCCAAATCTGTCAGTATTTCATTAGTCCACTCTTTACTTTTGTACACTTACTGCCGCTCTAACTCTTCCATCCTTTGAATCTTCAAACCAACAAGTTACATCTGTGTCCTCCCAACAAAAGCTTTTCCCAACACACATAACTTTAAGCCCCACTTCAAAGACACACTAACATTTACTCAAAGAACTACCCAAACACATCTCAGCTGCCTTGCAAATTTCTAAAATGACTGATCTAAAATGGATAAAGGAGATATTTCTGAGTAAATAAGATATATGCACTTGCTTCAAATCTAAAAAAAATCCACAGGTGTTTCTGTCCATCCTTCCACTGTGAGAAGACAACTCAACACTATGAGTCTGAAAGGATGTGTAGCTGTCAAGAAGCTGAGAAAAGAAATAAACATGCAATTCTGAAACTGGACTTGTGAGGTGTGGTGTAAGGTTTAATTGATGAGTCTAGATTTGTAATTGAAATTATATGGATTGTGAGAAGTAGAAAATAAAACCAACTCCTAAGACTGAACTTTACAGATATGGAAACAAATTTCTTTGAAAAACTGAAAAGAAGCTCCCTAAAAAGAAGGAAGCTGTAATAATTTGATTTGATTGTGTTTAGTTGTTGAGGCGTTTGTGTAAATTTCTGTTAAATATATATTTTCTGTTGTTTTCTTGATGCTGAAAAATAAATATTTTGTACCTGGCCATTTTAGCTGGAAATCAAATGAGTGAAAGGGTGGTCTTTGACTTTTGTACAGGGCTCCACATTTCACTTCTTATTCTCTCCTTCAGCTTTTTGCCCTTGCTTTTCATTTGGCGTGTAGTAGGGTTATTACATTTGCACACGATCATTACTGTGGGTCTTGTTGACTTTTTTCAAAGGCTGTAAAAACACAACCCAGCTCTCTTGGAACGTCACCTTCGACCTCACCTAGGAGTGATTGATTGCTTATGAGTACATTTTTGAGAGTACATGTGAGTCATTACAAAGTAATCATTTAATCATTTAGAGTGTTACATTTCTGGACTGCACCAAAACAGCTGTATAGGAATGAAAGCAGACAAAGCATGACAAGTAAGACAGAAGGATTTTAGAAGTATTTTCTGTAAAATCTAACACAAAATGAAAACTCTACGTCAGCTCTGATAAAAGAAGACCATTCCATATATGCTTGTCTGAGGTTCCTAATCCGTAGCAGATCTGAGAGCTATCGGGTGTCACCAGGGTGGCTATGGAGGACAGGTTGTGTGAGATGCTGTGTGGAAGAAGTCTGGCATGAGTTTGGGCTCTGCTCGCACTCAGAGGTACTGCAGGAGTAGGCATTCTGATGGGAGGGTAGGAGTAGGGAGTGTTCCTAATGATTTGCACCTGGAATAATAAAGCCAGTGTGTTTTACATCAGAGGACAGGACATCCTCGAGCAAATCCACTTCACGTCAATCAGAATTTTCCCCAAAGCATTCTGGGTGCCACTCAGCCCCAGGCACTACTGCAGTTAAGCGAGGCAAACGATGAAAGATGAAGTCATGATTTATCTGTTTTTGCCTTAATGTATCTTTCCTATTAAACTTAAAGGCGCAGTATAGGACTCTGTAGAATGACTGCTGATATTTGAACTTCCTTCAGTGCTCCTTCAGAAGCTCCAGCCCCTAAATTCATTGACATGCATTGCCAAGGTGAATGACCCTGGGCTAGCAAGCTTGTTTTTTAGACCTTTGTTGCCATAAAACTCTTCGCAAAGATTGTATGGATAAATACCATGACATAACATTAGTTAGGTCAGAGCGACACACAGTAACATTAGCAAGGTTGTGGGTTAGCAAACAATTGCTGCTGCAAAGCTAATCAGTTGCTATTACAAACATTATCAAACTGGACAAAACAATACTGACCTACTGGCTCTATGAAACAGAGATGAAAAAATAAGTTAATGTTACCTTTCAAGCAGAAACAGAACAACCACCTCATCCGTTTTCATGCCTTGCAACTCTAGATGAAGATGAAGGAATTTTCTAGTTCTACTTCAAAATGCAGCAGTTACATTTTGACGCCTCAGCTTTTTGTTCAAATTCTCCCATTCCACCTTAAATGGTGCAGCAGTTACATTCCAGTGTCTCATTTTCTAGTTCAAATTTTCCTGTTCCACCTTAAATAATGCTGCAGTTACATTTCGGCACCTTAGCTTCTTGTTTGAGTTTTCCCGTTTCACCTTAAATGGTGCAGCAGTTAGGCTATATTCAGGTGCCTCAGCTTCTTGTCTGAATTTTCCTGTTCTACCTCAAATGGTGCAGCAGTTACATTTAGGTGCCTCTGGTGCCAGAATGGAACTGCTGCACAGTTTAAGGTGGAACGGGAAAATGCAAATAGGAAGCCAACTTGAACCTTGTCAACTCTCAGAGGTCTCTCCACTGTTGAAACACACTTGTGTGATCTTAGAACTTCTTTCTCAGTCTTTGTTCTTCAGATCTTCTCCTCTTTGGCTGTTTCTCTGCCATCTCTCCTTCTTGATCATGTGTTAGCCCCTACCCTTCCCCTGTCCTGTGTATTTATCATGAATGTCCCTGTTACTGATTGGATGGTATAGTGTTGTGTGGCTTGTCCTGAACCACTTTGCTTATTTCCCATTTACAGAGCCATTCACACCCAGCCCTGGGTGTGAACACAGAATTGTTTTTGTTTGCACACACATACATCTAGTGGACCATGAGGTGATATTCACTAAATTTGACAGAGTGTTTTGGATTAAAATCGTAAACCACACATATAAGTATTTAGCTAGAGAAATGCTTCCAGCTAAAAAACTACTTTTGCTTTATATAGATCATAGTTTGTTATGTTTTTTTTAACAAAACCTTTGAGTTAATTTTCTAAGTACTACATGGAGATGTTAAAAAGGAATGCAGCAGGACTTTTAAAATGTTGCGTTACCAAATTTACATACAATACTGTGAAAAATTCAGATACCCTTCATTTTTTCAATTTAATGGCAAGTACTGTTTTTTACACTGAGAGGGAAACAGCAGAAAACATTTAACAGAACGTTACACAGAAGCCTCAACAAATAAATATAATATCATATATTTTCGCCTCCACCCTTTGTCTTTGTTACGGTTTATGTTCTTTTCTGGAGACAGTTTTTAAAGAAGTCTGCAAAGAAATCTTTCCACATCTCCAAAGTTCAGTCTTAGACGTTCGTTGCATTTTCAGCTTTTCATCATCCATGTAATCCCAAACACATTCAGTGATGATGTCTGGACTATAGGGTGGTCAGTCCATTATTCTGAGAGCACCAGCAGATTCTTTAATTGATTAAAAAATGTACATAATTTCATTTTCACAGTAACGGCTTCTTGATAGCTGTACATTCATTTAAACCCATAGCATTGAGTTGTCCTCTCGCTTTTCCCCTTCTTTGTGCAAGTGGATTATCTTATATCTCAGAAATATCTCTTGAAAATGAAATAACTTGTAAATTATATAACCTATTGGCCATTTTGACAGAAAAGTAAAAAATGAAGGGTGGTCTTTGATTTTTCGCACAGTATTGTGTTTTCACTATTTACCACATTTCTCACATATCCGCAAACATCCAGTTCGTTTTGAAGATGGCACTGAGCACAGAATTTAGCTGCATTCATTTCAGTTGGGTCATCATTGTAACACAGCTATGGCTTCAACACTGTCTTGGTCATTTCACTGCATTAATGTATGTGAAAATTAACATGAAAATGTCCATTTGGTTTAGCATCACTTTAGAGATGACATTTTTATTGGGTTGTTTCTGTACATAATTGTCTTTGTAGCTTTAAGTGGGACATGATGCTCTCCACAGCTGCTTGATGTATATTATATTGGTTAGTGCCTCTGGGCTGAGTGAGTGTGTCTCCATGCTGGGTGGGATTCTTAATGGAGCACCGCTCCTCCTTTCACTGAGGCTAATCCAGAATGGAAGGTGAAGAGTCATGTACATACATGCACACCTTTATCTTCTCATGCCTTAACCTTGTCTCCACACACACACTTTCCACTCTCTCAGGACCTAAGCAAGCACATCTCAGCCACACACACAGTCCTGCCGTTGTTTTCCCTTCACAGATAGAATCTTGAGGCGCAGACACCACTATAGTCCAAACATCTTCCAAGAGGATTTTTTTCAGACATATAGGCAGGTATCTATGCATCTTGTGACCTACATGTTTAGTTATGACCTGAATACTTGTACCGTGCACCTATTTATCTGGGGGGGGATATGTCAATATGACATTGTAATGATGATAAATTACATCATGATAAGCTTTTCTAAGCATATTGTGGACATAATCAGTATTTAAAGATCACTGACTGTGGTTTGAAAAATGAAAGTATGGGTTTTGTGTCAAGATCTTACTCAATTAAAAGTGGAAGTATGGAGCAAACAGTATACTTGAATGAAAATTAAAAAGTATTGACATAAACACACTCAGGAATGTAAAAGTAAAAGCTAAATGATTTAAAATGAATAGTAAGAACATGCTTTTTTTAACTTTAACGCTGTCACAAGCATTAAATTTAAGACGAGTACCATATGAACAATTGCAATTATTAATCAGAAACAATTAGATTTGGGGATTTGAAGATCTTTTCTTTAGGAATGTGTAATTGCATGCAACATGAAGAAGGACACAAGTATTCCCCGAGCAGATGAATGTAATAATTGTGAGCATGTTGAAAGAGTATTCAAAGAGAAAGAGGGTCAAAACTTGGTGAAGGACTTGTCATCTGTGGAGGTAAGTGAATCATCTACTGTTGTCATTATATCTTCATCAGTAGAATGTTAATTTTGCATTTGAGATCTACGTAACTGTGTAAATTATTATTTCAGGCTTTACAGGGTGACTCATAGCAGCGCACGGCCACCATATTTTAGTGTGTTTTTTACTTCGGACTCTGCTACCCCTTTCAATTTTAACAAAAGATCTTACATAGTGCAGCTTTAATAGCATTTTGATATGTGGCAGTAATAGTGCATTGTGTCTTTTCCAATTTATGAAACCTGAGGAAAACAAAACATTTAATATGTAATATGTGTTGTGTATTGTGAAAAATGTATCATGATTTTAGATTTTTACCGTACTGTCCACTCCTAACAGTTTTAACTCCATTGTTGGTTTTGGGTGATAAGCAATCTCACTTCTTCTTGACCTGAACTACTTGGCAAAAGAGAAACTGATTGACAGACAAGTAAACTCAAGCAGTTGTTGACACAGTGACGCATTGGTGCATTGTGCCAGTGATGGGGTCAACTTATGACCCTTCAGAGGTCAAAAGTCATGAACAGGATTTGATCTTGTCCCAGCCTGCAGGATGAATCCTCTCCTGAGTGTCAACTGAAACTCACTCAAGCTGTTTTCACTTTATCAGCATCAGTTTAAGACCCAAAGGGCGCGCGGGTCACAGCACCAGCCACCGTCTTCCTCTTTAACTGCTCTGCTGTGAAACACCACACTGCTCTACCTTATCAATCTCCTCTGAGTGCTGTTCTGAACTAATTGCCAACCATTTTCCATTAGCTCACGCGGTTCAGTGGGCATTTACAATGGCTCTTAAACAGCTTTAAAATAAGAGGGTGGTCTCTTTTCATTTCTAAGATATGCTTTTATGTATTCCAGAGCAAGCTGTTTTCTTGTTTGTTCATTTAATGACCATCTGCTGCACAGCGCTAAAGTTGCTTCATTCTTAATTAGAGCTTCGCCTCATGCTCAGAAAATAAATATTGCCTTAACATGCGTGTTTAGGTGTAGAGTCTTTGATACGGGGAGTATCTGACTGGGAAGGTGGTGCTGCAACAGCTCAATGAAATTTAATATCAGTTATGTTTCCTGCGATTATATTGCTACATATTGTGGTTGCAATATACCTCAAATGTTAAAGCAGCCCTGCAGTAGCATTACTGAGTCAAGAGAAAAAAACACTAAAATATGATGTCCCTGCACTGCTGCGAGTTGCCCTATAAGGCCTGAAATTAGTCAGAGGTGTCAGATCAGATTTCACAGAAGTTTATCAGCTCACTTCATATATCTTTATGTGTGAACATCACATGCACTTTATATTAATGAAGATATAATGATAATAGTAGATAATTCACTTAAATCCACAGAAGACGTTCTCTTTGAATACTCTCTCAACGTGCTCACAAACATCTGATTCATCCGCTTGTGGGGGTCTAAAGCACAGCCGACATTACAACTGTTCTTCTGCATGTTGTGCAATTACACATTTTCACCAGAGAGGTCTCCAAATCCCCAAATCCTACATAGTGCAGCTTGAAAATATTAACATAAAAACCTTAATCCTTATGCATAAATTAGGATACTGAAACCACAGACTAAATAATAGCAGTCTAATAGAAGTTTTGTAATAATGAAATAATGGATAATGAAACATTGGTCCTATGGTGGTCCAGTCAATTGATGGATGGGGTAGAGGGGGGCTAATAAATTGTGCAAGCAACAGATGGGCTTTAGTCAGTAACTGTAAACCTACAAACTACACTTATATGGGAGGTGTTTCTGATGAAATGGCCAATTAGTATTTCACAGTGTTTTTCGTTATTTTGTAAACTCCCTGTGGATCTGAATTCCACACCGTACATAATGGGTTCGATCATGACCATGCAGAGCATTGTTTTTATAATCAACAAGGGTGGAAAATACTCAAATAATTGTACTTGAGTATTGTATTCAAGTATTATTTTAAAAGTGTTATTGAAATTGAGTACTTGAATCCATTACAATCCAAAAACATACTTTTTACTCCTTACGTTTTCATTTAGACCTGTCATTTAGATTGTTCTCTCTTTCTTGACCAGTTGCTTTGCATTTGAATTATTTGTTTTAATTAAAACATCTCACCAAATTCATATCAGTATAAAATAGAACTGTCCATGGCTATGCCCATCTATTTTTGTGTGAATAATGCCAAAAAGTCCCTGCACCATCCAACAAAGAAAACATTTAATTTGTTAAAACATTTGCTTTTTGCTTTTATATGCATGTGTTTAATTGTCGATACTATTCAAAAGACAACAGCATTTAAAAGATACTATATAATAAAAGTTGGCTCTGTACAGAGCATAGTATGATACAGTTTTCACACAGCAAACTTTCACAGTATACACAGTTTCTTTGTACTTTTTCATCTCTGGTAATCATCTAGCATTGCGTGTGTTATATCACAGTGTAGTGTAGGTCGGATTTTTCCCCCAAACTGCACTTCTTGTGTTATGAAGGGCACTTTGTCCATGAGTAAGCACAGCACTGGCATTCCTGTGGCTTTAACCTCCCCGCAAAGCAAACAACGTGTTATGGTGAGGCCCTAATGACATCCTCACATCTGTCACCAGCAGCACTTTTACTCTGCCTGAGCCAAACCATCTCCTCTGTGTGTCCCTCAATAACCATAATCTTGGCCCCCTGGAATCTCTCTCTCTCTCTCTTGGTGTCACTGGCTTGTCTGATGGGCTCCATGAGGTGTTTATCTAACTCTTCTAAAACACCTCAATGTCTCAAGCACATGTGCACATGCTCAACTTAATCCATTGCTGACAAGTCCAGCCTTTGATTGTGCATGCAGTTGTGATAGTGAGACTCTCTGTAGAGCAGTGAGATACAGCAGAAAACGCAACCATTCAAACACAGAAATGTACTTGTTTCATCATTTTAACATACAGTGTTGTGCAGGAGTCAGAGATCACTCTTCATTTGTTTAATTTCTAGCCAAACGGCTTTGAAGTTTATTTTACAATATCAGGGGAAAAAATCAGAAAACAGATTAAACAGAAAATTACGTAGCAGTCTCAACAATATTTAGTGTGGCCACACTTTGCCTTTTACAGCTTCCATTCTTTTCAGGAGGCTTGCTTTCAGTTTTTCAAAGAAATCTGCAGGGATATTTTTCCACACCTCCATGGTCTGGACTCTGGGGTGGTCAGTGCATTGTTTTGAGGACACCAGCAGTTTCTTTGTTTGATTTGCATATTTTCTTCCTTTTTGTCTGTTTCCTTTTCTCAGTAACAGCTTCTTGATGAAGTTTGCTTCTGCTCACTGAGTGTTTGTCTTTTTTCTGAGGTGGAGAAGCAGCGGGCTGACCTGACCCGAGAACTGGACGATCTGACAGACCGGCTGGAGGAGGCAGGAGGTGCTACAGCCTCTCAGGTACATTAATAGGCTTTGCTTGCACTAGGCAGTAGAGGAATACTCCAGCATTTTCAATCTAATCTCTGTGTACTGTATTTGTAGCATATGGTCATTTACCACAGACAATTTGACGTTTTCTCTGTAAACTCATTGGCTCAAAGCACACTTACAGTAAAAGCTAATGGACAGCTGCTTCAGCATCTTTTGGATCTTTCTTTTCCAAGTACAGGGAAACACAGAGTTGCCGTTACACGTCTACTTTGCACCACAGCTGTACTAGTACTGATTTAAACACTGTGTAGATGGAGATGAATAGGAAACGTGAGGCGGAGCTGCAGAGGCTGAGGCGGGAGCTGGAGGAGTCCTCAGTCCAGGCTGAAACGATGGCGGCGGCTTTGCGGAAGCGTCACGGTGACACTCTGGCTGAACTGAGTGAGCAGTGTGAGGGTCTGCAGAGGACTCGGGCCAAACTGGAGAAGGAGAAGCAGAACCTGCTGCTGGAGGTGGACGATCTGGCAGCCTCTCTGGACACCCTGCAAAAGGCCAAGGTCAGATTTTAAAAGCCATGTTAATACTGAAAAGAAATCGCCTTGGTCCCTTAGCAAAGTAAATCACTCAACAATCTTCCAAAATGTGATGTATATTATATAGATTCATTTCAGTGTAATTAAGGTGTCACTAGACAGTTGCTATGGTATACCAGGTGGTTTCTAAGGTATTGCTAGGCCATTGCTATGGTATTCCTGGTGGTTGCTAAAGTGTTGCCAAGTCATTGCTTTGGTATCACAGGTGTTTGGCTAAGCCATTGCTATGGTATCCCAGGTTTCTGCTAAGGTGTTGCTTAGCCTTTGCTATGTGTCCCAGATGGTTTCTAAGGTGTTGCTAAGCCATTGCTATACTGTCCCAGGAGGTTGGTAAGGTGTTGCTAGAATACTTGTATGATGAAGCTTCATGGTTCTATCTTGAAAGCTATACGGGGAGTAGTGTTGCCATAGAATATTAATAATAATAATATGTTTTGACCATAGAATAATAATATGAAGAAGTAAAGAAATAACATTAAGTTAACTTTTTTGAGCCTAATTCATTTCAAATTTATGCACTTTCCTAAGTTTTGAGGTGGTTTTTGAGGTCGTCTCTCGCTCTCTCCTTGGTTTGTGACTCACTGCTGTGGGTTTTCGTCCACATTTTTACTTAGTGTAAGACAGCAGTGCAGTGATGGAGGACAATAGCGTTCTGTGTCTGATCCCAGTCTAAGCCTCTCATTAACTTTGTGTGGCAAGAGCAGGTCACGCAGCCCCAGCAAGGGAATTTCAAGCACATTGATCAAAGCTAACGTTGCGCTTTATGATCATGTGTAATACCAGGCATCCACTGACGCACAGCTGAAAAAACTGGAGGATTTGCTGTCTGAGGCCAACTCCAGGAATGAAGATGTGCAGAAAGCCCTTACTGAAGTGACTGGGGCAAAGAACAGACTGACAGGTATGAGAAATACTGCAGGAAAAGGAATCTTCACCTGACATTTTAAACAGTAAACAACTGTGGTTTAATTTGCCAGCTTAAGTTGCTGAAGCAGCTGCTCATTGGCTTCTATTATAAGTATGGGAAGTATTCTTTAAACACATACATCATTTGTCATAAAAAGACATTTATGCTTTATGGAGACATTTATGTAGATACAAGATGCAGTTACACTGACATAAGCCTTAAGCATCTTGAATGAAAGTCTGTATAGAATTTACAAGCTAGTCGTGTATGTTGTAAATATTTTATGAAGTCCTCAAGTAGGTATCTTCAGGTAAAATCTTGCAAAAATATTTTCTCAAACAATAAAACAGAGAGCGTTTATTTAGTCTAATAGATAATACCTTGTCTTATCAAAGAAGTGATGGTTAGTAATAGGTGCTTATTGCTCTCCCATCCTACAGCTGAAAATAATGAACTGAGCAGGCAGCAGGAAGATGCAGAGAATAAGTGCAGCCAGATGAGCCGCTCAAAAACTCTGCTTCTGGCCCAACACGAGGAGCTGAAGAAGCAGTTTGATGAAGAGGTCAAGGTGTGTCTAATCCTCTTGAAGTTTTAGGCATTGGTACTTATCCAGGAAATATTTTTTAAGAGAGTATAATAAAAAAGCATTGCTTTGTTCAACCAATGATATTTAAATGTGAAAAAGCTACTACATTACTAAGCTACTAAAAGGTACTGACAGCAATAACAATAATAATAAGAAAAAATAAGACCAACACCTTGTTGGTATCTTCCAAAAAAACATATGTTTAATTTCATCACTAAGAACCTAGTGGTCTTAATTAATGAGATTAATAACTGTTTTTGTCAATCTTTTCACAAATATATAGGACTGCGCAAAAGTCAGAGAACACTCTTGATATATTTACTTTCCAGTCACAACAGCCTTTAAGTACAAGTTATTCATTTTTTAGCATCAGAAAAAAGCTTGTGTTCAGTCTTAGAAGCTGGTTGCATTTTCTGTTTCTCACAATCCAAACAATCCTGATTACGTTCAGTGATGTTGAGGTCTGGACTCTGGCATGGACAGTGCAGCAGCGTCTTTGTCCGATTTGTAAATTTCCTTTTATCAGTAAAAATTCCACTACTGGAAACGTCTGTTTTTTTTGCACTTAATTTCCTGCTTGTTAGGGTGTTATTAGGCCATTGCTGTGGAATCCCATGTGGTTACTAACTCGTTGCTAGGCCATTGCTATGGTATCTCTGGTGGATGTTACTAGGCTGTTGCTGTTATTCCAGGTAGTTGCTGAGGTCTGATTTGCAAATTTCCTTTTTTCAGTAAAGGCTTATTGACAGCTAGAAACAGAGCATTAACCTCTCACAGTGGAAGGACTGACAAGAAACACTTGAAGATTTTTTCAGATCTGAAGCAAAAACTTAATGTTCTCCTCTCTCTCAAAGAGGAAAGCTTTAAGCACTGTTTGTCTGATGGTGGTCTGCAGTTTTGGTAGTCTACCAGGTCTTGTAGGGTTGTTAGAAGTGTCATTTTCTCTATTCTCTAAAAAATTTTATCATTTAGTAACTTTTTTTAACTCCACTACTGGAAACTTCTATTTTTGCACTTAATGTCCTTTAGCTTTTCCCAGCCCTATACTAGTGGATTATCTTATATCTTATCTCCTCAGAAATATCTTCTGAAAAATTAAGCAGCTGTACTAAATGGCTATTTTGACCTGACATGGAACAAATAAAGGGTGGTCTCTGACTTTTGCACAGTACTCTGTAGTACTTGATATCACAATATCACAGTACTCAATTTTTGCAGTGGTCACCAACCTTTCTCTTGGGAATCTGCCTTCCTGCAGAGACTCCATCCTGATAGAACCCCACATGAACATTATTGCCTTCAGAAGATTTTGATTAGCTGAATGAGGTTTGTTAGATTTGAGTTAGAGGTGATATCTGCAGGACGGTAAATGTCCAGAAGGAGGGTCGGTGATCACTGTTTTAAGTATTAAGCAACAGTCCACATGTAACAATGTGGGAGTATAACAGTTATGCACTGTATTACACTGTCTGTATGCCTGTCTGTGTGTCTTCTAAACTCAGTGTAGTACAAAGTAACATAAGGCTCTGGTTGGCACATAGTAACCTATCACAGAAGACTAAGGTATTTGTGTTATGTGATAGGTTAAAGCAGCGCTGAACAGCAGTTTGACAGCAGCGAGACAGGAGTGTGAAGTGTTGAAGGAGCAGCTGGAGGAGGAGCAGGAGAGCAAACTGGAGCTGCAGCGCCTCGTCTCCAAACTCAACAGTGATGTCACACACTGGAGGAGCCGCCACGAAGCTGACGCCATCCAACACAGCGACGAACTGGAGGAGGCCAAGTGTGAATCGCACAACATCTCGCTTAAATAACATACACATAACTGGATATACTGTGCAAACCCAAGTGTGAAATATACTGGGCCAGATATATGTGCCTTGATGCGACCTCAGTGTGCACACACAGCGCATCTGAAATTAATGTTCGATTTATTAAGACTGCAGCTTATCAAGCAAACTGCGTGTAGCCCTGCCCACTAACTGCTTGCTTATGAGGTTCAGGGTTTACATCCCAGGACATATCAAGCCAACTATGTCTGATTGATGATCTCCTTCAATCAGGACATCATTGCCTCACATCTCCTGTAAAACTTTACACGCAAACATGCGAAAACTAAAGCTGGCAGCCAACATGCACCTGCTTAATGCGCCTGTGTTAAAGCCAGCAACTCTATCTAGTAGTAGTTGCCAATAATCTAAAACTGTAAAACTGCAATGTTAGCAACGCTGGTTGGGTGAAAAGTCTACTTAAAAGTCAACATTTGTACATCAAACAATGAAATAAAATGCATGATCGCAAATTTATAATTATATGACAAGAAGTAAAAAACGTCCATAAAGTTAGAGTAAGCCACTGCTTACAGTTTATCAGCCCCCTCTACCCTGACCATCAGTGGAAAGGTACCACCACTGACCAGATCTTATTTGGTTGGGTACCATTCTCAGCACAACAATGACACCAACATGGTAGTGGCAGAATTTGACACACCTCAATGTCACTACTATGTTGAGAGTGGTCCACTAACCAAAAATATCCAACCAAGAGCAGCTCTGGTGGACAGAAACTGATCACTGATGAAGGATTAGAGGATAATACAAATAGTGCATGAGAACATGTGAGCTGTAGTCTCTAACTGTACACCTACAAATATAGTTGTGTAATAAAGTGGCCAGTGAATATATTTGCCACATTCAATCAAACTGACAGGCACAGTCAAACACAGTCGAGGTTCTCTCTCGAACAGTAACTGGTCAAAGCATTATGTGGGGGCCTATGCAAACTTAAGAATCTGTGGCATGTGTTGCAGGAAGAAGCTGTTGGCTCGGCTGCAGGAGGCTGAAGAGTCAGTGGAGGCCACGCAGGCCAAGTGCTCCAGCCTGGAGAAAACCAAGCAGAGACTTCAGGGGGAAGTGGAGGAGCTCTGTGTGGACCTGGAGAAGGTAAAGAGTACCTATTAGTTTTATTACTACATACTTAGTGTTATTATCTATGTGCTGATATGATTTTATCAGATAATGTGCTTTCGGTCATAATTAGCTAATGGATCTGGCAAACAACAGTGAGTTTTTTAATGCCTGTATTAGTCTGATTGTATGCTTCGGGTTGTGATGCTGCAGGCCAACAATGCAGCGGCGGTGCTGGACAAGAAACAGCGCATGCTGGACAAGCAGCTGGGAGACTGGAGGCAGAAGTGTGAAGAGCTTGTGACTGAGGTGGAGAGCTGTCAGAAAGAGAGCAGGCAACATGCAACTGAGCTTTTCAAACTCAAAACAGCCTATGAAGAGGCTGTGGAGCAAAGTGACGCTTTACGCAGAGAGAACAAGGCCTTCCAGGGTAAAATACACACACACACACACATAGACAGTCTTTTAACCCTTTAATGAAAAGCTCATCATGCTAATGTTGTTGAAAAGAAGTTAGCAACCACCAATTGATGTCATTGGCATAATGCTAAGTGGTAGCTATACGATTTCATTCACTGGTAGCAACATTAGCATAACTGTAAATTAGTGGGGGACCCTCAGTGTCTTTTAGGCCTTCAGAGAAGGTTTCATGATTTCCAGGAATTCTAAAAATGTCTTTAATTAATTTTAATTTAATATAATCATCATGTTTGTTGTATTGAGACTTTGCAAGTGTTGTAGTACTTCTCTTATTTCATTGTTAAGTTCTAGTTGGAAACAAAAGAGTTAATATATTAAATCAGCAAAGGAAAATTGTCCTATTTGATTTCTTTTTCCCCATGGGACCTAGGTAAATACAGTCAAGCATGTTCTCCCATTGGTTAGGGCTTCAGGACCGAACAGAAGGCCTAACATGTTTGACAAACCACCAACATAAATAGGAAGTGACGGTGGAATCAACCAATCACATTTTGATTTACAATGGGTGGGACCAAGTTTGTAAGAAAATAATTCACTATAAGCCCAGAACAGGAGCTGCAAATTAACCAGGTGTCAGTCATTTTTTAGAAATGGAAAGCAGTGGCTGCGGTTCTACGTCTGGGTTCTGAAGGAGTCACTGTAAAGCTGCAACATACAAGCTGAAATAAATGATAATGTCAGTTATAAGCCTCAAATATAACATATGGATTCTAATGTCAGTGTTTGTTGTGGACTAGCGCTACTGCTATTACTACTATTAGACTATTAGAAAGAGCAGAAGTATCTATCAACACCCACGCAGTCTAAATATTATCACATATACTGCACCATATTTGTTATTTTACCGTATTTCACATGCACAGTGCATTTGTTTATTTCAAAATAGTTCATTATTTTAGTGTTTTTCTCATGCACAGAGCATTTGTTTATTTTAAACTGGTTACAGTTGGTCAGCTGAAAGATGCATGATGCAGCTATTCTGCAGAATGACAGCCTGAATCCATGCAAACATATGACTCACTTCACCCACATAAGCACTAATTACAATACAACTGAGCTAGCATTATGAGGGATTTAGACCACACAATGTCAATCTTAATCTTTCCTTTTTATGACTGCGGTTCTAAGAAAAAGCTATAATTAGTTGAAGTACAGAGATTGGAGCCAAGATCAGAAACAAGCTGACTCTGTAAGATTTCTCAATGAATGAAGGGCATGGCGTGAAAACCTGGACCAGGTTTGCACTCAGACAGAAATGTAGTCCAGTGGTTTTATTGCACTACAGGCAGAGGCTATTGTGTAGTTCTACAGAATAATGATGTCATTTCAGAGGAAATTGCTGATCTTACTGACCAGCTTTCGGATGGGGGCAAGAGTGTCCATGAGCTCCAGAAAATGAAAAAGAAGATTGAGATGGAAAAAGAAGAACTGCAGGCTTCACTGGAGGAGTCTGAGGCAGCGTTAGAGGTATGAAATGGAAAGATAATCAGTCCTGACTTTCATAAAAATAGTAGTGTTGCATATTTCTATGCATTCACTGTTTTTACAAGAACTGAAACAACAGAAGGAGTTAACTTGTGCATGCTGTTCTGCCACAGCTGATTTTAAAACATTGTAAACCATTTAATTGTCAAGTTTCTGCATTTATTTTACAGTTTATCCAGTATTGGCTTCAATAAATAAAAGTTTTAGAGATACCAACTTTCTATTTTACAGTTTATTCAGTCTTGGTTTCCAGAAAAGAGTTCTGTATTAGATATACTGACTTTCTATTTTGCACTTTATTCAATTTTGGCTTCTATAAAAAAAAAGTTCAGTTTTGGACTGTTGGACTTTCAACTTTCAATAACCATGGCGTATGAAAGGGAGAACTCTTGCATTGTATGTCCTTAGAGGAAACATGCAGAATTAGTACAGGGTCAATTGCACTTCAAGATTGTACTGACTGATAAAACCTGTCCTGGGGAAATGCTGGTATTTAACTTAAATGAGTGTCCTGAGGCTGACTAGTGCTGACACAAAGAGTGAAAGAACATGCAATCTGCTTATGTAGTAAATCTTTCCCAACACCAGAGGGGTCAGCTTTTATCAGGAGGGCTTCAACTGACATGCCGTGGAGTCTTAGTCCAAAAATTGACAGACTGCTGTCAAGCTCATGTTTCTCCGATGCATGAGCCACAAAGCTTTCAAAGGCTTCGGCTTCTTACGGTTTCATTACCTTCATCGAGTAATGAGGGTGGTGAAAAGGGATTTGGTGCTGGGTTGTTTGCTGTTGTTTAAAAATGGTGAGAGTAACAGCTCTCGCTGTGGGAGCTTCCCTGTCTGACCTTCTGGCCGTGTTGTTACGGGAGGTGATGGATGTAGATACTTGGCTGTGGAGCTGACAGAGCTGATAAGTGAGGCTGATGGCTGTGGTGATGGATGATGTCCCAGGGGTTGGATGGTGGTCTCTCTGATTTCATGTCATGCTGAGAACAAGCAGACAAAGCTACAGCCTACAGTTTTTCAGTGGTAGGACTTTGCTTTATGGATCAGATGCAAAACCTGGCAAGTCAGGCCTTAAAGAACTTTTAAAAGCAATTAGGATTGTCTGCGTGCAGATTGGATTGAGGGGATTTGATCTGGTCTTAAATCTGAATTGCAGTGTTTTATCAAAATCAAAGGCAAACAGACTGGAACTGTTTTTGATTGACAAGCCATAACATTTCAAAATCAACACTGATAACATTAAATAGAAAAATCTTATTCACTTTTTAGATTAGGTTGATCTTTGTGTTAAGTGTTGTACACCTATGGGTGTTAAAACAGCAAGTACTAGTGTTTGTGACTAGAGAGTGATAAGGCATCCTCAATATTGAATAGTCACCACAACTTGTGTGAAAGCAGTGCCTCTTTTAATAGCAGTAAATGCTACAATATCAATAGATTTGGCTAAATGAATAACAGGATAACAGAATAATAGAATTTACTTCATTTGATTGCCGTGCACCTTGATAATGGTTGTCCAGATTGGGGCCAGAACAATAAAAGTAACAATAACTAATCTATCGTTATTTAGAAGAATTGTTACAGAGTTGAGTATGACATAAACAAAGAAAACGTACTTGCATTCATACTGAGTGATGCAGTAACACATGGTTTTGTGTGGCTGTAATTATTAAATGACTAACCTATTTAGGTTCTGCTGAGTAGCTTGGTTTTGGCAAGGTTTTGAGTTGTTTTGCTTTCCATGGTGTTGGAAATTGAATAGCGGGATATACAGTTTCTAAAGTTTGAGGGCATGGAAAAGTGTCATAATCACATTTACCGATGAGTAAGCCTTGCCTAAACTGCATCTGTTACAGTATGCTCTAAATATTTAGAGGAGTACTGCAGGCTGACTTTGTACTTACTTCTAAGAATAATTTCTATGCATCTGAAGTATAAAACACACCGACCAAGATACCTTACATGGCATTTGTACCCACCTCCTTGCAGGGACAAGTTATCAGTTCCAACTGCAAACAACTCAGTTATGAAATAGAGTGTATTTGTCAGTTACGTGCTTCATGAATTAGCCTTCCTACTAGACGCACGCTGCATTTTGGTGAGTTCAAACGACTAAAACCAACTTGGCAGCGGTGGGATTCGAACCCACGCCCCCGAAGAGACTGGAGCCTTAATCCAGCGCCTTAGACCGCTCGGCCACGCTACCTTGTTAACGCACGTGTCAAGCTCCAGTCCTCGTGGGCCTAAACACTGAAGCTTTCACCAGGTCGCTTCTTCAAATACCCGTGTTTCAGCCCATCAGCTACTTATCAAGACCGTCGTTAACTGAATTCAGAGCGATAGATGAGGGAAAACGCTAAGCTCCGCTGCACTTTCGGCCCAGTTTGACGAGCCTGGTCTAAAGTACAAAAAATGAAGAAAAACTCAGTCCTTCCACGGCATCTGTACCGACCTCCTGCGTGGCGAGACATTAAGCCTATTTGTCAGTGTTTGGTGCTGAACTCCAGCTACACGTGACTCCATTCTGCAATTTATTTCGACGTGGTCAGCGTAAACGCGGCATTCTGGGGGGAGAGAATGTTTAAAAGCCAGTTGGCAGCGGTGGGATTCGAACCCACGCCCCCAGAGAGACTGGAGCCTAAATCCAGCGCCTTAGACCGCTCGGCCACGCTACCTTGCTGTTACAGCCTTCTCAAATACACACACACAGTTTACAGTGTACTGAAGCATGAACTGTATTCTATACAGTGTACGTGCTACTCCTCAAATCAGTCACGTGACGAAGGCATGTAGAAATTCACGAATCAGTGGATATATATATTTTTATACTGTGAGAAATGAAGCGCTATCTAGTTATTTATAGTTATTTCTGGTGCATCAAAAAGCAGAGAAAAATCTATTGGTGGGCTACAAACTTGAGGACTGAATTGAGTCATTCTACAGAAACATCAACTTTCTATCTATCCATAGGAGTCACTGGTGTTACTGATCGTCATTGCTGTTAAACAGAAGAAAGGTACCACCAAAGACAGTAACAGCAGTGACATTTTTAATGAAGAATGCATTTTAAATCACTGCTACAGAGCATCAAACCACTTGTTGTAAATCATAGAATATCCACCAAAATATGGCATTCAGTCCATTTGTATTCTATTTTTTCACAGTTACTTAAGAATAAAGTAGGTCACACCAGTGACTTCAACTAAAAGCTTCATATGAAATCATGAGCTAAATGAGAAACTTTCTGATAACTGAAAAGACACAGTGGACTCACCATGTGGTTTTCTTCATAGATCTTCAGGAAATTGGTAAAAGGAAGACAAATGATGTCATCAGTGTGATTTTTATTTCAAAATAAGATTTTTTGTTACACAGTAACACCAGTGACACGACAGTGAACACTCCTGGGGACAACAACTTTCATAATATATTTTATAATATTTGTATGGCATTTGTTTTCTTTATATCATTTAATTCATATAGTTCATAGTCATGTATAGATTATTAGCAGCTAAAATTGCAGAAAAAAAACATGTTTTTAACTCAAAACATGGCCTCACCCTTTACACATGACTGTGAGGACCAGCACTTCTGTGGTGCTAGGAATTCTACATGCTTTATAAACCAGCGTTGCTAAGTTGATGGCTCAAGCAGGTGTAATTGTTAAAATAACTTATTGTTTTATTTTAAAATAGAAATAAATTGTTACCCTAACATGTTTTTCAAGTGTAATTTATCTGTAAACGCTTGGGACACAAAAAATGGGCGTTTCTGTAGAATGACCCATTTACCATATTTGCTAAAAGGGACGATTATAAAATTAATATAAATAATAATTATACCAATATTTTTTTTAATTAATGACTACTCCATGGCTGTCAAGTGGCTTGGAAATCTGGAATCCCTCATTCTGTGTTTGTCCCCTGCAGGCTGAGGAGACCAAGGTGCTGCGGCTGCAGGTGGAGCTCTCTCAGGCTAAAGCAGACATGGAGCGCAGGCTCCAGGAGAAGGAGGAGGAGCTGGACGCGGCCAGGTAGGCAGTTTATTCAACTATTCTATCAAAAGCATAAAACAATATCTAAAAAGATACGGTGTGTCATTTCCTTATCACTGAATTGCTCCTTTGTTAATTTTCCTTTTCTTGCTTCTCACAAATGAAATCTGAGGCTCACAAGTAAGTGACCGTGTCCCTTAACTTTTGCCACTTGTGCTCCTCTGAGCCTCTGTCTATTTCATGAGGAACGCTGTTCATAAAGCTGTTGTGTATTGAACTGAGCTGAGATTTCTCCTGTGTGCTCAGGAAGAGCCACCAGAGGGCGATAGAGTCACTGCAGGCCAGCCTGGATGTGGAGGTGAAGGGCCGAACAGAGGCAGCCCGTCTGAAGAAGAAGATGGAGAGTGATATAAATGATCTGGAGTTACAGGTGGACCTGCTCAACAAGAACAACGCAGAGCTGATGAAGACGGTCAAGAAGATGCAACAGCAGATTAAGGTTAAACCCTCTCTCCTTTCTTTTTAACAATAAAACTATGATTTAATAATAATCACAGAAAGTTATTACATTAAATGGTTATGAATACTCAACCTGATATCTGGGACATTGTTAAATTCTGTGAGGTATCTTGAGGTGGGTTTCCTTTACCTTACTGTGTATAAAATATATAACAGCTTGCCAGATTTTAATCCATTGGGAGCCAAGGAAAATCCCTTTTCCGTATAAGAATTACATTAGGGGGAGAGCTCTGATCAACAGTTAATGCATTTCTGATATGCATGTTCGGATTTATAACATCAATACCTTCAATTTTCAGCTTCAAGATTTTACCTGGTAATGAAAGATATTTGCATTGGGCCTTGATGAGATGAAGTAATTTAGGTTATATGTGTTATATGTGTTTACAGTATTACAATCCTTCTGTGTCAAATTCCATCCCAAGATATTGATGAACATCTCATATTGACTCTGCAAAAATTTCCTCCACATGTTGCATGCAGTTACGTGTTTCCACTAGAGAGGTCTTCAAATCCCCAAATCTTACCCAGTGAGGCTTTAAGATAATGTTTGAAATTTGTTTCTAAAACAAATATCAATAGTTTATGAGGAGCCTGGCCACTTCCTATTTCCCCCATTATATCAACAAACAGGACTGCAAAACAGCAGAGGGCAAGTCCTCAATGAATGGGGGTGAATAGAGATAAACGGCTAAAAACGAAAAGTTAAAATAGTTTCTAGTCACTTGCCCAGAACTTTCCTTTAATTTTAGAGAGTAGAAGGATGTATTTCACTAAAAAAGCAAAGAAAACCCATCTGCATGTTTTCTTTTTTCTACAGCAAATGGGTTTTGGGCACTACAATGCTAGCATTACTGCAACTGAGTGCTGATAGGATGGCAAGTGGAGCAGCTCATTGGCTGTTCGTGCTCACTAAAGTCATGAGCGTACACTGAGTTCAAAAGCTCTCAAAAATATAACAGCAGTGTTAAAATGTTTTATGCTGTTCTGTGTTCAGGAAATGAATGTATTCTTTTATCTTAAAATGTTTAAGCATTTATACACTATGATTTTGCTTAAATGCTCCATATTAACCCATTCATTTTGGACTCGCTCAGGAGCAACACAGAAGACATTACAGAGTGGTAATTCTCCTCTCTACAAGTTCTCCAATATTAGGACGAAATTCTTTAACTACTATTTGCACAGTGTACATAGGAATTCTTTTTGGCATGAATTTTGGAATGAAACCCTTCATGTGTGTATTACTTCCAAAATAAAAAAATACATAAAATATATTTTAAATGCTCCCATAGTGAGCAGCTATCAGCAGCCAACAAGCGCGTAACATATGTGGAATTCTTGAAGCCTGTTGGAAAAGCATCCCAGGTGGCTCCTCCTGAAGCTACTTGAGGGAACATTGCAAAGAGGGGCTACTTTAAAGAATCTGTAATATTACCTTAAATTGTATATCCTTTTTTGGTCACTGCATAATTTCTTTCTATATATATTTCATAGTTTTCATGTCTTCACTATTCTAAAATGTGGAACCGTAGAAAACAAGTAAACCCTTCCATGCCTGGTGCTTTATGCCAGTGCTAGACAGCAATCTGACCTAGACTCTTTCTTGTAACTTGTCTCCCTTCCTGTCTCCTGTAGGACCTGCAGGTGCGGTTGGAGGAGGAGACGCGTGTGCAGGAGGAGCTGAGAGAGGAGCACGCTCTGTTGGAGCGACGTTGCACTCTGCTGGTCACCGAAGGAGAGGAAAGTCGTGCTGGACTGGAGGCAGCAGAGAGGGCACGCAAGGCCCTGGAAACTGAGGTCCAAGAGACCACAGAGAAATACAATGATATCAACAACCAGGTACTGCTGTGACACAGTGTCTCACTTCAGTAAGGATTAAAATGAACAAAGATCATGCACTTATATGCAGTTTAGTATGGTTTATTTGGTTAAAATGTACAGGGGAGATATGTAAGTCAACATATAAAATAAAGCGCGATGTCAGATTTTAAAAGGACTTACATACTATGATGGCATTCTTAGCTATGATTAGTTATGATTTTAACTTAGCTGAAAAAGAGCCATATGCAGTGAGTTATCTTATATGGGTCATTCTCCATTTGGAATTCCATGGGAATTCAGGTGGACACATTTTTAAAAATCAATTTTTTTCATCCCCAAACTAAATAATATTAATCTCCTATTATCATATATGCAAAAAGGAGAGCTTAATCCCAAACATATTTTAGTCACTGGTGTTGTATGAATATGGTGTAACACCAGTGACTGTGACTCCAGTGACATTCTGGTTAAAATTGAGGATTTTGTAAATTGGCTGACTCGTTGGCGATCAGGAGACCTTGTGCTGCTATTTAAAATCTGTAATAAAAGTGATATTTGGCATTATTTTTACAAAATTACCCAGCCTTTTAAAACACATAACACCAGTGACGCATAGAAGTTATGTGCTGCCTGATTAACAAAATTATTAAGAAATTAATGAAATATTGTAAGCAAGTGTGGATTCGCCTTTTTATGCATTAAGATGCTTCCTCTCTGATGAACCTTGACGCAAGGAAGCAGTTTAATAGAAATGAAAATACTGTGTTAAAATGTAATATGAGTGTGAGAAAAATCTCTGTGACAAATGAATTATGTAAATAAAATACATAATTTTTAAATGTAGTATATCATTAATGATTTAAAAAGTAAACATGAATCTGTTTTATACAAATTCCGAAGTTAGACCTCTTAAAGATTTATATTAAAAATGGTTTCTCAAATGTTTTGTGATGAGCTGTTTTACATATACAGAGCGACTATGAAACAGGATAAAAAAGAAAAATCAGAGAAATCATAAGAGAAAAGTATTGTTAATCTTAGGTCAACTGTGTAAATGTACATACTGATGTTTGGAGCTGTGCCTAATATTTTAATCATCTTTTATTTCCACAAGCATAACGTCTTTCTGCAGGTCCATCTGCAGCTTACTTGAAAACAACTTATTGTGTACAATAAAGTATAGCATTTAAACATTATAAAAACATTTTTATAAATATAAACCTAATTGTTTACCTACAAAGATGAAAATCTAATCTGCTTCTGGTTTTGTGAATCATACACAAAATATATTCCATCAATATTATTGAAGAAAAAATGTATAGTTCGACTGACAGACCTCCAAAACAGGTGGGAAAAGTCTTTTATGGCATCTGTGAAAAAGGGTTAAGGATACGTACTGCTGTAAACTGCTCTAAATTAGAGTCTACAAGATGTCATACATCAGGAGTATTGAACTGCAGTCCTGGAGGACTGGTGTCCAGCACAGTTTGGTGATTTTCCTGCTCATACACTTCTGATTCAACTCATCTGTTATTTACCAGGTTTAGTGGGTGTGTTTTAGTTGAGTGATTAACAGATTGCGCTGGGCACCAACCCCTGCCATAAATATGTTAAGCTCCTGAACAGCTGAATAGTGACTAAATGCTGTATTCATGTCTCATTGCTCATAACTGTCTCTAACCCATCCACTCTTGATCTGTCACTGTAGTTACAGTCAGCCTCCAGCGGCAAGCGGAAATTGGAAGTGGACCTTCAGCAACTGACCCAGGAGCATGAGGAACTGCAGAATGAATTGAGGGGGGCCAATGATAAGACCAAGAAAGCTGTATGTGAGGTAGGTGATATTTTATGATGTCATGGCATCTGAGCTTCTGTAAAACCTACACAAGCTCATGAACTCATCTGGTGTTGTGTAGACTACTCGAGTGGCTGAGGAGCTGAGGGTGGAGCAGGAGCATACCATGCATCTGGAGCGGGTGAAGAAAGGCCTGGAGGCACAGCTCAAGGACATGACCGTCAGACTGGATGAGGCTGAGCAGCTGGCTATGAAAGGAGGCAAAAAGATCATCCAGAAGCTGGAAGGAAAGGTAAACTACAGTCACATTGGACACTGGTTCTCTTGGAACTGCACTGCAGTTCACTCTCTGGATGACCACACATCTCTCTGTCTACTCGTGTTCTGTGCCATTCCAGTTCAATCCAAGTGATACTTCACTATCAGCTGCACGCTTCTGATTCTATTCTGTTGGGCTGATCTTAGATTCAGTGAGCCTCATTTATAAAACATTAGCAGAACGAAGTTGCATAAATTGTAAAACACTTTTTTAATGTAAATTTCCACATTCAAGTTTCGTCAGTATGAACAAAAGTTACACCTGCCCCTGACCACGCATAAGGCATGTGGAAAAAGGCATAGTAAAATTCTAACAATTCTGATTCTGCAAGTTTCTCTGAAACAGAGCATTTCACATCAAAACACCCAAATTACTGTGTTTACATGTTAATAACTTAATGATGCAGACATTTGGAAAAAAATGGTACAATTTCACTTTAAGGCCTTTGAGTAGAACTGTATAAATCAACTCACATCAGCTCAGAGAGAGCAGCTCAACACTGTGACCAGTTGCTGCTGTTCTCTCTGTTGGCCAATCATATCTGCAAATAAAAGAGATTTTCTGTAAGAGTTATCAGTTGTTACTGTGACATTCTCAAGGAACCCTCCTCAGCGACAGGCTGTGGTCTAACACTCTGCAATGTCTTGATCGTGCAGGTGAAGGAGTTAGAGCTGGATTTGGAAACGGAGCAGAAGAAATACGCTGAGACAGTGAAGACCCTGCGGAAGAACGAGCGGCGCCTCAAGGAGCTACTCTTCCAGTCTGAGGAGGACCAGAAGAACCAGCAAAGGATGCAGGAGTTGGTGGAAAGGCTGCAGATCAAAATGAAAACATACAAGAGACAAGTGGAGGAGGCGGTATGATCACTCTGAGTGCACTAAAACTAGTTTGGTCAAATTGAAACTCTGTGTTTTCTTATAGTGATTTTACACTTGTTCTTGCAGGAGGAGCAGGCCAATATGAACCTGGCCAAGTACAGGAAGACTGTCCACGAGCTGGATGACGCAGAGGAGCGAGCCGACATAGCCGAATCTGCTCTCACCAAGATTAGGACCAAGAACAGAGGCAGTTTTGGCAAAGGCTACTCTTCAGTAAGTCTGATCAGGTTTCTGTGGCGTATAACTTTACAAATGTCTCAGACACTATATATGTTTTTAGACTTATTTTATGCTGACATCCTGTTATTGTTATTTCCCTACAGGGTTATAGCACTCCGTATCCAGGGGTGGTAAGGTCACCCAGCTCTGTTGGGTCAGAGGGCAGGGGTGAAAAGATCCTCACTGATGACGATGAATCTGTCAGTTCTCTCATTCCCACCTATCTCAATTCCCTCAAGAAACTGATGATTGACTAGAGCATTTTTCCCCAACAGCACATGCCTTACAGAAATTGGGACCTCTGGAATGAATACAGACCTCTGATTTACGATTTCCAAAATTCCAAATGATAAAATAGCATAAACTTTGGTCAACACAAGCATCTATATTCAGTATTACTCTCTGTTTAGTTCACTGTTGCATTTGTTTGAAATAATGCAGTCTGTGACTAACTGTACAGTGACAACTTTTGTTGTTGACTTTCTTCTCAAGCACTTTGGATTTGAAAAGACTGTAAGGTTAAAGTGCAGATCGCATTTACTTCTGTATTTGGTGAACCATATAGGAGTCACAGCACAATTTGATTCTATTGCAGTTGTTAAATTCTATCAGGAGGCTGGAAACAAAATAAATCAATCAGAGATATTTATAACGTTAAAATAAATATTTAAGACTATTGTTTAAAGTTATTTAAAGTAGGCTTGGGCAATATCTAAAAATAATCAGCACAATATTTTCTTGTTAAAAAATACACTCCCTACCAAAGGAGTACACATGTTCCGCTGTAGCTTAGACCTACTTTCCATTTTTTATTCATTTATTTAGTTCGTATTCTTTTTCATAAACATGGTTTTAATGCAGTTCTGATCACATATTAGCTAATATAAATACTGAGGAACCCAAAGCATGTAGTATTATATATATATATAATAATTTTCATAGTTTAACTCACTTGAACCACTGAGACACTTAAGCTGTACGGAAAATGCTGCAAACTTTTCTGAGACGGTATGCCATGAGAGGGGGAGGTGAAACATGAAATGATTGGTAAACGTTATTTTTCCCTGCCTGCTGATGCACAGTGATGTATTCGAAACTCTGAGGATGTTTTAGAAGTGAGCAAAAGTCAGTACATTTTGTCAGAATATTGCAGAAAAACAAGAATTTTGTCTTTCATATGATATATGATGAATCATTCTTAATATGAGCATAGACATGAACAACGTCAGTTCCTTTCAGGTTGATACTCTGCACTTTAATTTTACAGTGTTTAATGTTAAACCCACTGTGCACAGAGCCAAAACAACCAAAGTTATGTCACTGTTCAATTACTTACAGCCTGCACTGTAAGTTTTTTCTCTTTGCCAAAACTTTATCATAAATTGTCAATAATGTTCTTTTTTTAACTTCCACCATAGTTATAAATAAACAGGATTAATGTTTGGTTTGTCTCTAAAGGGTTTTTAATAATAAAACACACCAAATGAATATTTAAAGATATTAAGACTTATACTATTTAAAGTTTTTGAGCATTTGTCTACTTACATTCCAACTTTGCAAGTTTTACACTAAGAATAAACTTTACAGAATGCCCCATTCCTGCAATGTCTGGAAATAAATCAATTAAAATGCTGAATTATTAGAAAAGTATCAACATATGTATTTACTGTACTCTGAGTTTTTAACAATAAAAATATGAAAATGCGTGCCACAATTACTTCTTTAAAAAGCTTGTATTTTGGTTATGATGAAGACACATAGTCAGAAATACTCTCATTTTTTACAATTTAATACATTTATGCAACATATTAAAGGAAAAGCATCAAATATTCATCAGTTATTATCCACAGAGAATCTTCTACATATATTTCGTAGTAAACTTTGTACAATTTGCACATCACTTGAACAGAAACATGATCATAAGAACACATACATCGCTAATCTTCAAAATTATGCTTAAGTTGCTTGCTTATGATACTGTAGCTAGATTGCAGTGCAAAAGTCAGAGACCACTTTTTATTCATTTAATTACCAGTCAAAAGTACAGGTTATTCATTCTCAGGTGATATTCCTGTATTTCAGAGGAGATAAGACATAAGAAACTCCACATGAAGAAAACAAGTGGTAAAAACAGAAGAGTTAAAAAAAATCTTAAAAAATAAATAAGAGCAATTGGGACTCCTAACAACCGTGCAAGACCTGGCAGACCACCAAAACTGTCAACATGAGATAAACGGCACTAAAGCATTTCATCTTTGAGAGAGAGGATCAAGCTTCACTCTTGCTTCAGATCTGAAAAAGTCCACAGGTGCTTCTGTCCATCCTTCCACTGTGAGAAGACAACTCAACACTATGAGTCTGAAAGGATGTGTAGCTGTCAAGAAGCTGTTACTGAGATGAGCAAATTCGCAAATCACAGAAGAGACCAGACCTCAACATTACTGAATGTGTTTGGGATTACTGGATCGTGAGAAGAAGAAAATGCAACCAACTTCTAAGACTGAACTTTGGAGGTGTGGAAAAACATCCCTGCAGATTTCTTTGAAAAACTGAAAGCAAATCTCCTGAAAAGAACTGAAGATGTAACAAAGGCAAAGAGTGGACAAACTAAATACTGAAAAAAATACAGAGATTTCTGTATAATATTCTGTTAAATATCTGCTGAAAAATGAATAACTTGTACTAAATGGCCATTTCAACTCAACTAAACAAATGAAGTGTGGTCTCTGACTTTTGCACAGTACTGTATAAAATATGAAGCAAAAAAGAGAAAGAAATCCAGTCAAAATGTCTTTCAGACAATAAAAAACAAAATCAGTGTTAATTTCATTTGGTAAAAAAATAAGCATTGTGCAAAATAATTTCAATATATTATCTGTACCTCTATTATATATACATACTTTGTCCATGTCTGATAGATCTGTGTCTCCTGTCCTCCACTTAACCATTTGGGGTAACCAAAGCCAGATTTTCAACAATACAAAATCATGTATTTTACGACAGAAAACAAGTGCTAGCACTGTCTTGGTGTTTGCTGAACTGCTGCTCTGTTATTTATTAAGTTATGGAACTATTTGTCATAGTTATGAAATACTCCTAACCCCTGAGATTCCTGACCACAAGATGTAGTCTGGAACCACCTTTGGGACTGGATACACTAAAGAGACCTGCAAAGTACCATAATGATGGTGACAGCTGCTTATAAAAGTCAGCATGTTATGTGGTTCTGATGAAAAATTAATAGTCACAGTGGATCCAGCAGACACGTGCAGGTCACTTGCAATATACTGCAATAATAACAAAAAAGGTTTTGATTTTGGCTATCATGAAACTTATGTGCTGATTCTGGTCCCTGTTATTTGAATTTTCATATTATTCACATCTCTGGGGTTTTTGGTCTTTTTCTCATATCAGACAACAATGGCCAAGCCAAACTGCTGCATCACAACACAGTCAGCTTAGTGTATCCAGCCTCTAAATATCATGTGCAACTCTACAGGCAGGTAGAAGTAATTGTCTGAAATGCATAAAATGCATGAAATAAACGAGTGTTAGTTACAGCAGAAATCACTAATTTACCCAAAACCTGATCTTGTGTTTTCATTCTGTCTGTAAATTCAAAATTTGCATTATCAGCCTGTCAGGGTGTGGCACTCTAGACATTCATCATGAAATTGCAGATCTCCTATATGACTGTGTTATTTTAGCCTGTGTCTGAGAGTCTCATGGTCATTTTATAGCCTAATAAATAACTTGGAACAGAAGGACGCTTTTATCACTAATTTTATAGCAGCAACAACCATATATGATTCTGAGGACACTTTAAAATTGATCTGTGCAAACTTTCTCATCAGGTATATGCATAATTTATTCTTTAACTAGAATAATCTAGTCAGTACTTCTGTAGATTGCATCTCTTCTCCTGAGTAAGAATTGAACACATATTTTGTTATTCTTTGCATCTTTGCAATTCCAGGTATCTTGTTTGTGTGGGAGAGACAGAGAGAGAGAGCAAGAGATAAAGAGACAAAGATCTACACTGAGTTGCCAGTTTGTTAGATACGAGTGGTGCATGGTTGGAATGGGACAAGACTGGAACAGGCAAATGGCCAGTTTATTATCTTCATTTTTGGTCGACCTGTCTTTTATATAACATGTGCCAGATTAGTGCACTTGTGCTGCTGATACAACTATACCGACATGTTATCTCATTATGCTAAACTGCCAGTCATCTCTCATTTCTGATGTACCACTTTATCTGATTTCTAGTTATTCAAGGCCAGTCTGGCCTGTTAAAGAGCATATAATGTTATTTATGCTGCAACTAATATAAAGTGAATGTTTCATGTGCTCATTTAGCTCACATAGTATGAGCTTTAAGTTTCTGCATCCCTATGTGGAGGTGTTACAATATGCAAATTTCACAGTATGATACGTATTGTCGTTTTTGCGTCATGATACATTTTCAATACAGAATTAGGGAACAAAGGCTAACATAACTTTTTGCATTTTTGAAGTTTTTTTTGGAATTTCCAAAATATTTTTGTTTGTTTTCGTAATTGTCATTGTTGTCCCAAAAGCACAAAAAACAATAGAGTCTATGACCGAGTAGTGGTGCAAATAAATATCTTTGCGGAGTGAGTTATTTGTTTAGCCCGTTCAGAAGCAGGAGGTGGATTATTTTGCTTGTTACAACTCAAGTTTGCTCTCTCTTATTTCAAATAGCATGGCTAATTAACCGTCAAAGGTCAAAGCTTCCCAGTGTCACTATCGTCTTGGACCTCCATATAAAAAAAAAGGACATACATATCGTGACACTCCTACTATTAGGTACACCAATCTTGTACCTACACTCATTGCCCCTTTTATCAGAAACACTTACCATGTAGGTGCACAATTTATTAGCCCCTCTCTATCCCATTCAGCATTGGAAAGGGTCCCCCATAGGACCACCACTAGTATTATTTGGGTGATGAACCATTCTCAGCATAGCAGTGACATCAACATAATAGTGCCATGTTAAAGTGTTATACCTAATAAACTGGCAATGCAGTGCATGTACAGTTTTACCCTTGGGTTCTTGGGTCAGCTCTCAAACACAGGCTTCACTGGCTTTCCATTATAGCCTATATAGCAATCTGCTTTGGTCAGTAGAGCTCCGTCTTCTCAGACACAGCAGTTCCTTTTACTGGACCCCACTTGAGGAGTGTGTTAACATTCCAGGGTGATGTTCCTCCACGTTCCAGGACTGATATTCAGCTGACACACCTGAATGGACAACCTGTCCATAGCCCCACAGGGCCAGCTCCATCATTGAGACAACAGCGTAGTCTCTGTATTAAAGCTCCATTAGATCTCCATGTCCACTGGCCTCACCTCCCCCGTCTTGTGTTCTTTCACCCACAGCTCTCTGTCTTTCGCAGGGTCCACAATCTGGAGCAGTTTGTCCACTGGCTCCATGGTCTGGACATGAAACACAGAAGCGCCACATTGCATTGCTTATGTCCTTGCGATAAACAAGCACGCATCACACATTCACTTAGATACAGGCCACAGTCTAAAGGCAGGAGACTTACGCTTTGGTTAAACATGTCTGTCTCATGCCTCAGCGTTGTGTACTGGCAGAGATGTTTTCTAATCATCTCCACACGTTCCACCTCCAGTCTTTCCAGCTCCTGAAATACATACAAATACAATGTCAAAAGGAGCACCTTCTCTAATGTTGCATTAGCTATAGATAATATTTAGTAGATCTTATATGTTTTAATACAGCCAAAGCAAATGGTCTCACCAGACTTGTAGTGACCATCTCCTCAAACCATTTTGACTGAGACTGGTTATACAGATCAACACATCGCATCAGATCATCACCTGCAGAAAGAAAACACATCTATTATACACTGTATATGTGAACAGTCATCTGAACAAATAAATTATATCACCATGAAATACTGCAAACACTAGAAGTAAGTAAATATTGATTATCACGCATTATCACACTACTGTATATGAAAGGAGGATTCCACTGATTTTTTTAACATTTCTGCATAATTAAATTAAGATTTTGAGATTTTTGCTAAGTCAGTGATAGTGATAGGAACCAGACATCTGAAGCAATTATTCCTCTAAAAGCTGCTTCACAGGAAGATTTTAGAAGTAATCAAAGAAAACTTTTCATTTTTTTTTTTTTTTATAGCACTATTTTACCATTATCAACATAACACATTAAAACTCAGAAGACGTGTAGGTTCACTTTTCATTTTTTAAAACCAATGAAAAAAGGCAACATTTGAGTAAGGACATCACAACCCCTGGTTCCTATCAGCACCACTGAAATCTGATTACGTTTCCCTACAATTAACCATTTCACATCAAATCACTCTGAATGCTTCGACCATAACCTATGCACAAATTTTGAAAAATCAGTGCAATTACCCTTTTTCCGTTTGTACTACCAATGAGCACAATCCACCACTAGGGGGTGCCAAAACACAATCCTTTATTTTATGAAAGCAAACGGAATGAAATGTGTTGGATCGGATTATTTCTGTGTCTTCAGTTAACCCGTTTTTGACTCAGACACTGAGAAGCTTTCTCTTCTCAGCTTTTTGGTGTTTTAGCACATTATCTTTACTCTACAAGGCCGTATGCCACGTTTGACACGTTCTGCCAGGCTAGTCGCTATCCTTTGTGTGACTTGATCAGTCTGGACCACAAATCTCTTCCTCAATGTCTTTCACTTCTCCCTTTCTTTGTATTTCTCTCCTCTGAATTTCCTCTAACATGTGTTTGTAATTCTGTATTTTCTGGGTAATGTAATAGCTTAAGCCGGAAAAATAAAATAACAATGACCTTCTTTTACGCAACTTTCTCTCCACATTTGATCATGGCCAATTTCACCAGCTATCTAGGTCTCCTCCTATCACATAATGCTACCAGGCTGAGCGGGTGAAGGCTAGCATATGCTTCCTTCAACACACATGCTCAACGTGCTTAGCCCTCCTGCTGTCTTCAAATATACTAACATCTTCTATCCTTGGGGTCTATTTGACCCCAGCAATTTAACGGGAAATATCAAATATCAAAGTTCTGGTGGGAATCATGTTTTCCCCTCCCCAATGTCAATGTCATGTGAACTATCCGTGGTTCTTGCACTACTACAGGTATGGTTATGTTAGATTAGGGACCTAAAGGGGCTGTTTTTTGAAGATTATAAAATGCATGTTAAAGTGACTCCAGTATCATCCAAAATAAAACAAATGTGTTTTGTTTTATACAACTAAAACAACCTGGGGTCAAACTGACACCAAAGAACACAGATGCATACAAAATGTGTACAGGAAACATTTGAAAACATATCATCATGTTCACTTTATGTTTAGCCAGTTGTCCCCATGACGAAAATCAGTAAATATGAAGCAAAAAGAGGTCAATAATTTATTAAGATATGTTAAACATTGAATGGGGTCAAATTGACCCCAAAGATATTAGGAGGGTTAAAGGAGAACAAACTTTCAATTCTGTTACGTCAACTAAAAGACACCTGAATTTATTAGTATAGTGCTGAGCGACACGGAGAAGGCAGGGCCATCCTACAACCCAGTAAGAGCGAGACCAGGTATACTCTTTCTTCCTGTGAAATCGCAGAAGACCAAACTTTGTATCTCCAAACGATAGGGCCAACACTTGGATGACTGCACCGCTTCAAACTAAAAAATGAACACACTACATAACATTTTAGGCGTCTCCCCGTGAGCCTTGAGTTTGTGGGGGATGCAGGACAAACCATCAGGAACATCCTGCAAATGCCGGACGGGTGTTCACCCCACTGTTGCCTGGTTTACTTGTTATAACTTATCAGTATAGTCCAGGCCTTGTGAGAGTGCTGCTATTTCAGCGACACTGACCTGCCTGTGTGGATTTCCTGCGGGCCTTCTTGATGTCTTCCTCGATCTTAGTGCTCAGTTTGATCTCCAGCTGCTGTGTCTTCACCTCCAGGTCCTTCTGCCGGTCTGCAAGGGCTTTACGTGCCTTTAAGGGCACAAAGAGGGATAAAAGATATGTTCAGTATATCTTCTTTACCCAGTAATATATCACATCTCCAGTTCCCTATAGGTATTTCTTCGAATTACATCTCCCTCTCCGGAAATAACTCACCGTATTGACTGATTTTTACAATGCTTAAACTAAATTGCTTTTCTATATTTTACAGTGAAGGTCTTTTTCTATCTCTGCTTCTAAAATGACAGCACTGAAATTAGATCAGTCCGTCATTACTGGTTTGTTTACGGCCCCAGCTCTTCAATCCCAGACAACTACGTTCTCTGTCTCAAGGTCATGTGTGAGGGGCACGGCCACGTGATTATTTATAGAGCTTGGAAATTCTCCAGGGCCAGGAAATGGTCTACTGCTTTGGGAAGCAAAGTGGAGCTTTAATAATGTATGAAGAATTCCTGAAATTCTAGAAAAGCTAGACGAGCAGGGACTCAACTCAACCACTTGGACTGTAGGAGACATGTTCACAGATCCAGTGTGCATGACGCCAATTTTTCATTGTTGATACTTTGGCCAATCGTGTATTATATCAGACTGAATAATGAAGCAAAGCTAACTAAAGTACTGACACCTTAACAAAACTCTACCTTCTCCACAGCAGCGTATCGGCTGGCTAGCTGCTTCCTGAGGTCAGCAATGTGGTGGTCAATTTTCTTCATATCCTTCTTGAAGTTTTCTCGAAATGCAAGGAGGGGCTTTTCCACCTCACTTTGCAGCTGGAACACAGAAAAGCAACTATATGGTCAAGGATGAAATACACAAGTATTGAGACTTTTTATGGATTTACGTAAGTAATGGTTTTAGTACACTCTCAAGTTACAGTCATATGCAAAAGTTTGGGCACCCCTGGTCAAATGACATGTTTTGTTGATTTTTTTGGTGATACATTTAATATTTCTTGCTTTTGTTCCAATATGTTACTCTCCACATATAAGTCTGTTCCATGTAGTGGATGGGTTAACTTAGAAGCTCAAATCAATCAATGTATAATTTAAGCAGGGGTATCCAAAACTGTTGCACATGACTGTATAGGTTTGTATGAAATTGTGCACATATACACTGATGAGCCAAAACATAATGACCACTCAAAAGATGGAGCAAATAATGTTGATTATTTTGTAACAGTGGCCAATGTCAAGCTCTGGGATATATTAGGCGATAAGCGAACAGTCGGTTGTCTTTGGTGATATGTTTGATGTGAGAGAAGTGGCTAGATGGTTTGGTTGGATCATCTCCAAAACGGCAAGGCTTGTGGGGTGCTCCCGGTCAGCAGTGGTGAGTACCTACTGACAGTGGTCCAAGGAGGGACAAACCACAAACTGGTGACAAGGTGTGCATCAAACCCTGATGTGTTTGTGGTTGCATAGCCGCAGACCGGTCAAAGTGCCAATGCTAACCTCTGTCCACAGACGAAAGCACCAATGATGGGCATGTGACTGTCAGAACTGGACCTAGGAACAATGGAAGAAGGTCACCTGGTCTTGAGCATCTTTGAAATGATCCGGAACAAGAAGTCAGATCCACAGTGTCCACCTCACAACTTACAGGACTTAAAGTGTCTGCAGCTAACGTCTTGGTCGAGACACCACAGAGGTCTTCAGAGGTCTTGTAGCATCCATGGCTTGGTGTGTCAGAGCTGTTTTGGATCATGACCAACAGCGTATTAGGCAAGTGGTCATAATGTGTTGGCTCATCTGTGTACAATCCATATTTAGCAGGCTGGATGACATAACATCCAGTAGCGTTACTGACCTTGCATTAAACAATGTGCCTCTAACAGTAACGCCCCGTCCTACATGTATTGGCTAGGGGCTTCCTCTTGCGTAAAACTATCCTGTGTAACAGGGTCCTCAGCAGCTAGTGTATGAACACATCTGCTCTACCATTCATTTCCTAGCCTTCAAAAATACAACTCTGCATTCTCATCCAAACAGCTGTGCACCAGAACCCTCGCCTCATTCAACCCAAACTTCCACACATACATTTAGAAGCCACTGAGCGAGTAGCCTATAATTTAATATTCAGTAGTAGGGCTGCACAAAAATGTGATGTTTTGTTAAAACATCGAGAAAATAAAGTTGTTGTATATTTGAATGGTGATATGAGAAGCAATAATTTCTGATTAAAATCAGGGATGCACCAAAATGGGGTGTGACTGACTGGGTGTGCAATAAGTACAGACTCTATTTTTGTACTGTGTAAACAGAAAAATACAAAAAAGCTATTTTTTCAAATTTAAGTAAAAAAATAAAAATAAAAAAAGCTAAAATAACATTTTTGTCAATGTCTAAATATTTACGCCTGACTGTATGTGGTGTCAGTTTCCCATATTAAAGAATTAAGTATACCTACATGTTTACATATGTAGAACATCATACTTATTGAGTGTAACAGCTCTGAACATTGTTTGCTTTTGAAGTTCTCACACTGACATTTTAATATGAACAAGCAGCCAAAGTATTCATTGTATTCAAGTATTTAAAGGTCAGGGACAATGGCTAAACGTGAGAATGGGCATTCTTTTCTAAATTGGAGGCCACTATATGTCAGTAGCTGTCTAATGTACTGGCAAAGAAAATGAATTTTTGTGTCCTTTTTGGTCCCCCTAGCAGAGTTACCTTCGAGGAGAACTTGAGATGAACTTCAGCCTCATCAGCCAGGCTTTTCTTCAGCTGGGCCCAGGCCTCTCCCAGTGTGCTGAGGACAGATGAGCAACAGGCATGAATTCAACACAAAATTTAAGTCTATTATTAATCTGAGCCATTCACAACCACACATAAGAATTCAGTACTACCTGACCCGTTGACCTGCACCAAAGAGTTTATGTACACCTGACAAAAAGTACCAATTTCACTAGAAAACACTATCAAATTAACAAATTAGTGTTAGGCAGTATCACGACTGTTCAACTTGTAAATTCACAGCTGCAAAAGTTCGCTATTAAAACAGTCACCATCACAGGTCACAACAAAACCTGATTGAGAAGTCAAAAATCACAGCAATCATAGACATTTTAACATATTCTTTTTCATGCAGAACTTCTACATTTAGTCCTTTGCAGTGGAACATTTCCATCATTCTTCAGGGAAAGTGTGAAACAGCACCAGGCAGAGAATGTGCAAGGATAAACCTTAACTGCTGCATTCCAGGCATTCGTTGAATATTTCTCTCAAAGCCTTAGCCAATAGGACCCCCAAGGCGTCAGTGAAAGCGTTCCTCTTGCTACAGCGCACTGATTCAAAAGGAGAGCTGAATGGGAGACGCGCGGAATTTACTTTTCTAACACATTCCTTCAGCCTGCTATTCAGACCCGGCAAAGGCCTGGCCTTCAGCACAGCAAGCACGGCCATGAGGAGAGCCAAGTCACTGCTACAGAAAGGTCAACTATCAGCTGCCCTATCAGACATCAGATATGCTTAACCCTGTCATGTCCAACAACTACACTGGAAAAATGACACAGAACTTGTTCGGATTTGTTGAAAGTTGTGAAATTTTGATTAGTTATACCTTGGAAGAACACCTAACAGTATCCATTTGAATGCTTTATTACACATTTTATTTAGTACTGAATGGCAATGGAATTTTTAAATATTTGGCTGAACTAAAGTGTTTCAGTCAGTACTACTATGCAAAATTTCACTTGAGTTGCATGATATAAAATGTTCATTTTATTTTAAATTTAATGTTAAAAAATGAATTTCATCAGATCAATGGGTGGCAAAATAAAACAGAACATGGTTTATTAGACGGTTGAAAATTATATGTTCCTGATTAACTTTTTCATTTTTTCAGTTTCCTGAGTCATGACCACAAACAAGTTTCTCGAAGCTAATATTTCTCTATCTAGCTGCCTTAAAGTGGATTTCCACTAATTTTTCAAGATCAGTGATTTTTCTGCATAATTAAATGGTTAAAAAGAAGAAGAGTTCAATGCATCTAAAAGCTCCCTTACAGAAAGTTCTTACATAAAGTGGTGATGAATACTCTGCCTGATGCCTGAGATATTGCTTTATAGTAGTTCTGAGAGAAACTTTTGACCTACATATGTTTTAATCCATTCATGGTGGAGAGATACATGCAGGGTGCGGTTAGGCAAAACAGTTTCTCTGCAATTAACGACTTCACATCAATCCAATCTGAATATCAAAGACTGAATTATACAGAACTTTTGAATAATCAGTGAAATCCTGATTTACCTAGCCAGCTAATGGCTGCTAATGCCACAGTTTATTCTTCTTTATTATCCTGCTGCTTTTATCATCTAGCTAAATTATTCATTTTCACCTCTTCTGACATCCTCTATTTTTTTAAACAGAGTGCAGATGATAAAAATTCTTACAGAAGAGCAGAGCCAGATGTGAAAATAAGGTTGCACGAAAGTTTCACCATGTAAAGCCAGCCTAAGAGTACTAAATTTTGATACCCAACTCTAGTGATAAAAACACTTTTTTTAGCCATATGGTTTGATTGATTTCAAACATTTCTTCAAGCAAGCTCAGAAATCATATTGGTCATATCATATCAAATTTCAGCTACAGACATTAATGGGTAAGTAGGAAAAAACAACTATGAAGAAATCACCTCGGTTGTGACCGTTAACGTGGGTCTACGTCTGTCGACAGCATGTTTTGAAAATATTCATGTGCTCTATTTCAAAGCCAGCACATGATTGGTCAAAGAGGTGGCAAAAGGTCACAGCCTGCACTCCTGCAACAATGCTTTCTACATCACAAATGCACAAATAGCACATTCAGGAAAAACAAGAGGTTCTGAGCATGGCTACAGGAGCCAGCAAGCAGAACAATGGCCATCACAAGTCACAACAAAACCCGGGTTGAGAGGCAGAATAATGAGAGCATTGTGGCGCCTGTCTGTAAGAGAGGGTGGGCGGACCTCTACAGCATGATCTACATTCTGCATAAAACAATTAGGCCTCTTTATCAGACTGGTGTGGCAGCTGAAAGAGCAAGTTGCAGATGTGCCGAATGGCAACTTAGTATTTGGTAACAAGGCCAAAGATGACTGCACTGAAAAAGCAGGTGACATGGAGGAAATTCTCAGGGATCATTGTGTTAAGTAAGCAGTAAAGTACTCTGAAATGACTAGACTCTTGGGGCTCTGTCTAACCACTATTAACACACCAAGGGACATACATAAAATCATTTAACATTGATATATATGGACTATTCTACCAAATTAGTTTAGACTGTAGTCCCACAGTAAAAAAAAGTATTCAGACCGTAGACATTTACAAGGATTATATTTTGATCTACTGAAGGGGTCACCAACTGTCCTCCTGGAGATCTACCTTCCTGCAAACTTTAACTTTTGTTCAGAAGTCCTTAATTCGCTGAATGAGGTGTGTTATATTTGGGTTGGAGATGAATCCTGCTGGAAGGTAGATCTCCAGGAGGACAGTTGGTGACCACTCATCTATTTCAACCGAAGGCATTAACAGAGACAGTAATAAGCCAAATATATAGAAAATTATGATGTATAGGGTATTTTTTATCGGGAGGTGTCTGTCCCAAAAACTAACTCCCAAATTACAACTTAAGAAAATAATACATTTTTGTATTTTTTCCAATGTTTTTTTAATGTCTTTTAAAGTGAAATTAAAATATTTAGATTTATCATGAGTTTTATCTAAAGAGTTTTAGTCCATAGGTGAAGCCTTATTTTAGCCACCCCCCTGCATCTTAGAGCAGTAAGTGAGACCATATCCCTGCCGCTCATAGCCATTTTATGAGCAGTTCCCATTGTTTTGATGTAAATGTTTCCCAAAGTCTAAAAATCAGTGTGTAACATGAGGAAAATCACTAATGAAAACATATTTTCTGTAATTTACTTTACTAAGGCAGCTGCTTTTGGACCATTTCTACTGGCTAGTTTCTTGGTCTTTGAACAGCACCAGCCACTCATTTTTTGAATCAGTTGGCTGTGTCTTGTTAAAGGCAGGGATACTGACAAGTTTAAACACTTTTGACTCTTAACTGATTTTTACTGTGATTGGCTATTAGTTTCTGAATAAATTCTTGAAAAGGATGAATGGATTTCCCTCGTAAAAAAGGTTCACTGGTAAAAGTTGGTTTTAATGCAGAAGTAAAGTAATGAGTGTTGAGGTCACTTTTCCCAGAAAGTAATAAGTAAAGTAATCCTTTTACATTTTAAAAGAAGTAATTAGTAACTTGTAATGGTTACCTTTTTTGGAGTAACACTGTCTGTGAGTAGACTTTGTTAAAGTAACACATTTTACTTTGTTGCTGCAGTGTAATTTAAATAGAAGTAAATATAATTCAGTGAGTTCCTTCTGTCCATTCATTTTGTTATGTTTATCTTGAGATACTCTTAAAACATGGACACTGTAAATTATGTAGTGAATGGCGGGAGAGTTGGATGAGGGTGCGGGGGAAAGCAGGCCTGCCTGTTTCCTGCAGTTAATATTGTAATTGTAGCATCAGGTCAAAGACTGACCTACCCTGTGCTTGTCATTTTTTGGGGGAAAAAAGGCCCATGTTCTCTAGCAGCCTAGCTGTATCAATCCATTTGCAATTATTCTGGCGAGTCCACCAGGAGGCAATTTTGACGTCAAACATATCATGACCAAATACTGCAAACAATAAGCCTAATTCTAATTTTACATTTCCAACATTAGAAACTGATTTATTCCAAAATGAGTCCATCATGTCCAAGATATTCGTGCTGCGGTTTAAACAGTAAATGCATTACTGTGTATCTAAGAAGAGCCATTCACATTCGCCATGATTCAAGAGTCTTTGGTCAAAGTGCAGGTAATGCATGGTTTCATTATATGTGGACAGGTGTTGTAATGCCACACTGCCATTATACTGTCAAACAACATATAGTTCAGATGCATGTTTGGTATGTATGCAGTATAGAATGTAATTTGAAATGTGTAGGCAAAGAGAAAACTATAATTAGGCCCTCAGGAATCTTAAATATAATGCATTCAGAAAATGTGTAGGTGCAGGAAAAACTACACTTAGATGCTTTCAGAATACTGTGAGACACCTCTGATGTTTGAATATGTCCTTCATACAACTGGCTAAAAAGAAGAAGCCCTGAACACTTGAGTGTAGAATTAGGCACTAGCCCCTTTAAAAAAGTAGTTTTCTTAGGTTCCATTCTGAGGTAAGATGTTATAGCACATCCTCCTGAGGTTCCTGTGTGTCAGACTGCAAGCATGATAAGAAACCTTGGTGAGGAGCCAGCATGAAGAAAAACATTCACACTTACCCCCAAAACCTGCTGTAACTGAACACTTACCCTTCCTCCTGAGATGCAAGAGGGATCTGTGAGAGCTTCAAGAGGTTCTTGGCATACTCTTCCTCAATCTTGATTCTAAGGGGATAAAACAACACTTTTTTAAAGCACCAGGTTGGTAAAAAATCAACGTAAACAGCCCAAATGGCGTAGCCCAAATATTGCTGATCAGCCAAGATGTCTGAAATTTGCTTCTATATTTGTGCACTTGAGTTACTATGCTAATGTAGTTACCAAGTAATGGATGCTTTTACTCAGTGGTGAACCATGACTGTGAGAGCTAGACCTTCAGTTTAGGCCATTCACGAGAAAAGACGATAATGCTAATTTTTGCTAGCGCTTATGTTATGTACTTATGTTAGCGCTTAGCTAACAGTGGTTCATGTGAAAATTTTTTGGCCATTCTATGCTAAACACAGACATTTGAAGATTGTAAAAGAAACAATCTAGAACTTATTGACTTCTAACAGACATATTAACATATATTTTACCTTGTAGCAGTTTTACAGCAACTCCTTTCTAACAACTGACTGAAATCTGGGCTGGACTCTCGTGAATACTCTCACTCAGTGATGTACGTAGGACTTCCAGACATTTTTTCTCATGAAATGGGTCTCACCCATTGGCAATGAAAATGTGGTCCCACCCACTGAAAATCAAACAAGGTTGATTCCACTGCAAGTTTCTATTTATGTAAGTGGTTAATCTGATGCATTAGTCCTAACCAATAGTAGAGCTCACCTGGCCGTATCTATGGATACCATGGAGAAAAAAAAATCATAATTGGATAATTTTCTGTTAGATGTGTCAAGAATTAATCTCCTTTGATTCCAACCAAAACTAAAAAAAATGAAATACAAGCAGTTCCACAATACTTGCAGAGTTTAAATACAACAAGCATGATGAATCTATTAAATAAAAATGAACAAAATTAGACATATATTTCACAGAAATCATTAGGCCTTCTGAAAAGAGTTCCCCACTGCTTATTTAACACTAATTATAAATCATCACCAACATGCAGTGTTGTTAAGTAATCTCCAATAGACTTGTTTAGGTGGTTTCTGGCACTGTATGACATCTACAAAATTGACATATAAGCTAATCTATTTAAGATTATTTAAAAACTTGATGATTTAGGCATTCAGTTTATGTGATGCTATTTGGTTGGGTATAATCTTCTATTACTCATTCGCTACATTAGCCTTGTAGCTTCAGTGCACTTCACTGAACATGTAACTGCACTGTAGATCCAGTCATCGTGTGACTGACATTCAGCTAAAGTTCTCTCACTGATGGGATGAAGCACATCTGCTGTGTCCAGAAATTCACATGCTAAGGTCATTTCCTGCTCTGCCTGTATTCTAACACCCTCCCCCCCTCAAACTGCCCAAGGGAAAATGGTACTATGCTTGACCTCTTACATCACATTCCTACTAAGGAACTTTGAGAACTCTTTCCCAGACCCTTTGTGTCAGCTGCAGTCCTGAACAGTGGATGGGAAAACCGAGAAAGGGTTAAATAAACTCTCAGATAAAGGAAATGAGCTTTCTCTTAGCCCTTGGAGTCCAGCCTGATGGCCTGACTGTAAAACAGTTATCACTATACAATGAATAACTAACAGCAACTATGTAAAAGTTATCAAGGAACTGCTGAATATGTTTAATTTTCCAGCCCAAATCTGCTTAAGTCGATGGATGCTCAGTTTGAATAGACTTTGCTGTCACAGCTAGCAGAAAAAAAAAAAGACGCAAAAGCGGAGAGCACGAGTTAATAAATGACATACGTAATTCCGTCCACTCAGCAGGAAGGTTTCGCATTTCTGAAAAGCAGAAAATTCTGCCCTAGGAAATGACTTGTTTTCTGTAATAAGTATGCACAACTTGAAAGTCCACCATTAATGAAATAGAGGAAACTAGCCCAGAGATATGACGAGTTGTTGCTGTGTGGTTTTCATGGCAACTAAAGAGCAGAACTATAAAAGTGTTATGCAACTTCACTTTTACTGAGAATCCTGCTGAGGGGCAGAAGTTGCTGCATGCACCAGCAGAAACATTTTGACATATCAAAAAGTGGTGTCACTGACAAAAAATATGGAATTCAATAATAGTTAATTTAGAAATATATGCCTATAAAAAGGTCTGGTTAAAACACATTGTGTACAAAGACAGAGCTGAAGCAGTGTTGTGACATGAGCTCTACCTTTCCCTCATAAACTCAGCCATCTCCTTCTGCATCTGTTTCCCCTTCAGCTGCTTCTGCAGTAACACCTCAAAGCCTGTGATGGAGGTGTTCCCCTGCGGGTCCTTTCTGTCTGCCTGGAACAGGAGACAAAACACGAGCACCGGTAAACACGCCGAGAATCATGCTGTCAGATGCAAATTTGCAGGAAAAGCTGTGACAGAGGCAATGTTTTTCCCCCACTTGGCACTCAGTTTCTTCACAGGTTCTTGATGCAAGTGAAGGTTCAGGATGCGGCAATTTAAATACGTTTTTTGCCTCCTGGATTCTGACGATTCTAACAGGGCTCTCTCTGTGGAGGAAGTTTATGGAGCTATGCCAAAGCCAAGTGGCGAGGGTGTTCAAAACAGCACTCAGAGCCATGCAGTATGTGAAACACAACTAGAACATAGTATTCAACATGGCTGCATAACATGGACAAAATACCAGCGCTGTGATTGTAGTGACACTACTATGATTATGAAGCGCCTTGGAATATATTAGAAATGCACAGATGCCTGATGCCTTGATTCATCCTCACACAAACTCATGAAATCATTACTGCACACAATTAAGCTTTCAGCGATATCAGTAGTATATATACATACACGCATACATAGTCAAAACTGCATGATAAACGGACCAATAGAAAATGCTTCACAGTTACTTGACTTAAATATTAAGAACACTTTGCTTTGTCCTGTAAAGTTATCATTTTGGAGATACTGGTTTGTTTTTGGACAACAAAACAACATGACGTGCATGTGCACTGTGTTCATATGTTAATGCTATTATGCAAAAGCTTACATGTTTGTACACTCAGAGTTTAACTTGACCCAAATTTTTAAGGTATGATTCAATTTTCTATTTTGAGGTCAACATTCAATTCGATTTTTGATACTTTTTGTAGTTTAGAAATCAGCTCTAATTCAATACTACAGGGACTAGTTTGGTTCAAATAGATAAAAGCTCTCATACTAAACTTTTTCAATACTCTGCCCTCAAAATCAGCCATAAAAACCACACCCACTAGGTCAGTCATTTGAAACTGGATGCATGAATAACAAAAGTGCCCACTTTACCCTGATAAGATACAGTATATTAACTACAATCTTAAAATCTTATTTAAAAATGCTATTAGTGCAGTGGTTTATAAAATGAGTGCTAGGAAGTGACTGTTCATTCCCTGGAAACTGTCATTGTGCAACTCTCCAAGGTAACAATCATAGTTCTAAGGATAACATGACTTTCTTCTTTTGTGCAAGACAAAAGTGTGAATCAAAAATAACCATTATAACCCATGTAGTAGGTCATCGTGAACATCCGTGATTAGCCTTGTGTAGCTCCTATAACATGTATAGACAGAAGTTTGATGTGTTACGTACATGCAAACGTACGTGAAGGTGACGTAACTCTGACTTTTTGCATATGGTGTTCCCTTACCCAAAAAAAATCGCAGTAGCTCCATTCGTCCGGTTTGAGCAACTGCTGCTCAGCCATGTGCAGCGGTAGGGGAAACGTTATGCAATTGATCTGCAAAAGAAGGGACATCACGTTCAGATATTACAGTGATAGCAGGTGTTAAACTGAAATTTAAGAGCTGGAGCTCTACTGCTCATGTGAGTACCATCAATGAATGTATTATTATATGGAGGATTCAACATAAATTATGGAAGGAAAATTAAAAATACTTGTTTTTTAATCTAGGTATATCTGTATCTAGCTAGCTAGATGCAAGTGTGCTTTATGAGCGCATTAAGCAATAATCAGTTAGCAAAATAGTACATTTTATAAGAAAAAGTGGTATCGAGCAAGCTCTATCAAGGTTAATAAAAATCTATTCATATAAAATAGGCCTACTCAGGGGTTAAAGGGGGACTTTGGAAGTGGGGGAGCCCTGTTTTTCTATGGTCGTTTCCAATGAGGAAATAATTATATGGTGTTCTCAGCACCAATATCATGAAAATGTGATTAAAGCTAAAGGCCTTTCTGTTTCTGTTTAATGGCTTAATTAAGTCAATTAATTTACTTAGCTTGCTTAATGTTCTTTGTTAGTTTTGGCATCAACATCAAAGTATGATTCTTTTGAAAATCACACGAAAGCCTTACGTGCAGCCAAATGAACTGTTACAAAGGATGATGCCACCCAAATGACATCCAGAACTGTTCCCTTAATAACTCTTGGAGGAGCTGCCGCCTGTTTTTATAGGAACGCTGGTAGATACAGTAGAGTTTATCCAGAAAACCTGTGAAATCGTTCACCTCTGTGCAGCACTTTACTGCCCAGTTTTCAATGTCATCCAATCAGATTTGGAAATGTTCTTCTAAAACTACTGTAAACTCGAGCCTGTATACCTTACAAAACTGAACAATTTAACTCCTATAAGTAACATGAAATCACAAACGCTGTTAACTAGCTAGCTATGTGCAAGTCTGTACCTTTGGCCATGTCCACATTACCATGCTTAAGTGGCACAAATCAAATTTGTGACTTAATGTGACACTGATCTGATGTTCTAAGAGCTGCATGGACACCCATATCTGATCTTTTTAAATCAGATCTGAGCCACTTTGTCCTTGTTCAGACTGCCAGCCCAAATCCAATTCTTGGCATATCCAGATTGCATGCAGACCGATTTTTTAAACTCTGAACAGAAAAAATACAAAAGAAATATGATTTTTGCAAACCAGATCCAAACCACATTTGGAGATGTCAAATCCAGAGTGACTGAATTGCTGGAATTCGAGAAGAGTGCCAAAGATTCATGCGTATGCACCTCCATCTCTCCTGCATCCGCATTTGAAATACACATCACCAGCATGGTTTATCATTTCAGATGTTGAAATACACAAAGACTGTACTGAAAACAACTTACATTTCCACCAAATTACAGTGCTAGAGATCTGCTGCTCCTAAAAATCAAAGGTGCCAAAAACCCTGGGCCTACTGTGTGAAGACTTGTTTGATATAGCCTTCTCAAAAGTGATGATTTTATCTGACTGTGCAAACTAGACTAGCTACATATGCGACAGAAGTCTTTGGAATTACTTGTAATAATATTACAATAACCTATTTTTAATGAAGCACATCACTTAAAATATGCATCTATACATAAACTATTACACTCGAACTTAAAATACACAGCTAACAACATCACATCATGCAGTGTGAGTGAGTCCTATTTCTGGCTGGATTTGATGCAGGATTGGATCGTATTCTTTCTTTTTTTTCACTCCAATATCTGATCCAGCTCTAATATCGGCCCAGTACTGATACCCAGTATCGGATCGGCACCATCTCTAGTTGCGAAGTAATAAACTCATTTATGTAGCATGTTGGAACATCATTAAACAGCAGACGTTTACATTTTCACAAACTTTTAAGGTCCAATTACTGTTCCACAAAGGTGAAAGGAATGGTGCCAGAACCCTTCAGACCCAGGTTAACCCCTGAGCAAGTGCAGTGCTGCTGTAGCTGTCTGTTCTCTTGTACTGTTAGACCTTGGGCATTTCTTTCCACAGCTCCAACCGAGAAGTTCCTATATGCATTTAAAGGCTCCAAAGAGAGGCTTTGTACCTTAGACTGCCACTTATTATATCCATCAGTTAATAAACCAATGCAACAGCCATCAGACCAAAGCCCCTGTGATATAATAGGACTATTGAACTTCATTTAACTCCCCGCTGGTGCAAACAATGGACCGCTACTGTCCACAATACTTAATTTTCCAGCTATGGTTCAAAACACATTGCTGGTTCAAGTACAAGGATTAACAGTCACATTGGGAAACTATAGCTATAGAACAGCTGCATGTGCTATTTCTCCTTTTTCTGCAAATGTTCCTGTTCTGTAAATGTAAGTGAGCAGTGACAGCTCTTGTGAAATCTGTACAAGAAGCAGCTGTAAGGAGACTGGAGAGAGGAAGAACATGGGCACATGTGGTTGGTAATTTAAACACTCTGTTGGGCTTTTTCTTACAGTATCTCGTGACATTGTTTGTTTTTTCAGGACTTGATCAGCAGGATCAGTCGTTTAGAATTACTTTTACGTGCACTGGTGCTCAGTGACAGCCTGATGTATTTCCTCCTGCTTGCTTTGTTCACACTGGTTGTTCACCGTCTTTTTGTAAGTGAGCACTGCACACTGAGCACATTTACAGCCACACAGACAGCTACATGCAGTGGTTAAGTTGTAAAAAGAGAGGTAGTTGTTAAGAACTTTATATATTATATCTCCAAGAAAATAATCTTCTTAATAAAAAAAGGAAAAGAAAAAAAACAATATTAGAACCAATAGTAGACATATGCAGATATATACATTAGGTGATATAACAATCAATCTAAAGAGGACATACAGTGGGGACCGCAGTTTTACATGTGGTTGTTGGTGGGGGGGGTGGTGTTGTCTTTTGTTTTTGCATCTCCGCACAAATCAAACAATCAAGCTCTGCCTACATGCGCACAGACCACCCCTGCACTAGACCACAAAATACACATGAAGTTTCCAGCTTTCAGTAATTTCCATCTTTCCGTCTTTTCTTTCACAAACACAATGCAAAAGCATACAGTAATACAGCTACTCCCAACTTATTATCATCCATCTTTAAGGCTATAGAATGATCTTCTGCTGACAGTTTTACTCCAGTCTACAGTTCACTACTACTATTGCTACCACTTATGCTATTACTACTAATACTACTACTACCTCTAGTACTACTACCATCATTTTTACAACACTTTTACTACTAATACCTTAACTTGTCTTATTAATACTGCAACCACTACTTTTACTACTACTATTATTAGAATTACTACTATTACTATTAATACTATACATGCTACAATAACCACTATTTCTATTTGTAACACTTTTACTACTACTTTTAATACTAATACTACTATTCCTACTGATACTGAAACTATTACTACTAATACTAACACTATTTCTATTAATACTATTACTACTAATACTACTACAGATAGTAATAGTTACTCCTAATGTATTGCTACTGACACTAATACTGCTACTACTTTTAATACCATCACTACTAATAATACTAATACTGTCACTACTAATGTACTGTTACTGACACTAATACCACTACTACTGACACTACTAATATTGCTACTACTACAACTGCTACTACTTTTACTACTTTTATTGATACTAATACTGTAACTGCTACTACTTTCACTACTATTATTGATACTAACACTATTACTATTACTACCAATACTATTATTAGTACTATTACCACTATTACTACTGATACTACTACTATTACTGATATTAATTCTTCCACTACTACTACAATTGCTACTACGAATACTATTACTACTACTACTTTTACGACTGTTATACTAATACTAATACTATCACTACTTTTAATACTAATACTATTACCACTAATACTATTACAAATAGAACTATTATTAACAACAATTCTCATATTATTACTTCAACACAAGTACAGGTCCAATTTTTACATCTGAATGCCATCTGCTGATCATTTCTGCATACCTACATACATCAGTTATTCACAGTGTCATTAATCAACACATTTCACTGTAGCTCATCTTTATTCCAATCAGGCCAAATATGCTGTGTTCATCCCACATCCTGAGCCACTGAGCTCTCTGTGCTGGCAGTGCTGTCACAGTTAAACTGAATGATGACAGATCTGTCTCACTGCCATTCTGACGCACCTCTGAGCTCCTCATCTCAGCAGAACTCACAGCAGAGCCAGAACATGTGCACAGTCCTGCAAACATCTGGACTGCCTACATATTTAATGTCCCTCACGCACAAAACATGAAATAAGCCCAGGGAGAGTGTTATTCTGCTGTGGGGTTATTTTTCTTCAGGCTAAGGTTGGTAAAAAAATGTTTTAAATGAGAAAGTTACAATTCCACATGCACTTTTTATGCTACTCTGTAAAAACAAACAAACCAACTAACAACAAATGAAGAAGTCCTATAGCATTTTGTACTTCCGAATACAAGATGCAAGACGTCTTCTGTGTCCATGTTTACTGTAAAAGCACTACACAAATAAAACTGAATAGATTCTTTCAGACTTCCTATGCAAACAGAAATGAAGCATAAGCGCTGGAACAGGGGCTTCGCTAAAAAGCTCTTTCTGTTTGGTAGCTGTCAAAACTTGGTTTAGGTGTGATAACAGATCATCTATCAAGGCTTGTTGTGAGCCGTGCATCATAACACTTTCTGCAAGTCGCAAAATACACAAAGCTCTTTACACGGTTTGTTAACGAGGCTTTATGCCACATTGTTCTTGTATTTCATTTTTTTTTTTACCTGAACCACTTTCAGGTAAATGTTTGTGCGGGTTTGTGTATCAGAAACGGTCACAGATAACTTTACATGATCATTTCTTTATCCCTTTAGAATTCAACAGGCTGTTTTTGTTACTGTGCCTTTAAGACTGATATATGTAAATGACCTCTGCTTTGAATGGCTGCCCTGTGTTATACCTCATTCATCACGATTTTCAAAATAGGCTGATTTTGCAGCTT